CTGCCGAAAGTGCTGTACCGCATTTCGCAGGTGGATAACTTCCGGGAGAAGAATGCAACTGGGATCCAAGTGTGATCCGAAAGTTGTTGCAACACAGCTCCAATGGCCGTGTTAGAGGCGTCAACCGCAATGCTAAGAGGTAGGTTTACGTCTTGATGCACCAGCATCGTGGCGTCTGCTATTGCGGTTTTGATCTTGCGAAATGCTTCTAGTGCCTCCGGAGTCAAGCTGAAAGTTTTACATTTACTTTTCAGCAGGTCGGTCAGTGCAGTCAAAATGTGTGCACATTGGGGAACGAAGCGACGATAATAGCTCACCATACCCAGAAACACACGCAGAGCTTTAAGTGACGCTGGGACTGGGAAGTCTTGGATCGCCTGTACCTTTTCAGGTAGTGGGCGAATGCCTTGCTCGTCGATAACGTGTCCCAAAAATTTTAGTGAACGAACGCCAATTTGGCATTTGGCCAGGTTGACTGTCATCGAATGCTCTGACAGTCTGGCGAAAACCTGTTTCAAGTGGTTAAAATGGGTGTCTTCGTCTGGACTAGCGATTAGTATATCGTCTAGGTAGGCATAGGCGAAATCGAGTCCACGTAAAACATCGTGAATAAAACGTTGGAAGGTTTGTGCTGCATTGCGAAGACCAAAAGGCATACGGAGGAACTCAAAAAGACCAAACGGTGTAATGACGGCTGTCTTGGGAACATCATCAGGATGAACCGGGATCTGATGATATGCACGCGTCAAGTCAAGCTTACTGAAGATAACCGAGCCTTTTAAAGATGCAGTCAAGTCGTGAATGTGAGGGACTGGGTAACGATCTGGAATCGTTTTAGCGTTGAGCCTTCGGTAGTCACCACAAGGCCTCCAGTCCATGCCATTGTTCTTGGGTACCACATGCAAGGGTGAAGACCATGGACTGTTGGATGGTCTGATTATTCCCATTTCAAGCATGTGTTCGAACTCGGCTTTTACAGCACGCAGTTTCTCCGGGGATAATCGCCGTGGTTTCGCAAACACTGGCGGGCCAGTCGTCGTTATGTGATGAGAAACGTTCGAAGTCACACAAGGGACACAACGACTTGGCTTAAAGACATCCGGAAAGGACTGAATGATAGACGCGTAGGGACTAGAAGCGTCCGTCGTGCAGTACACGGGACTGAGGGGCGGCGTCTTTGTGACTATACCGGAAACAGAGAGTGTTGTGGTAGAATCTATCAACTTATGCTTGCCAGCATCTACCAGCAGCTGATAGTGCTGCAAGAGATCCATACCAATAATGCCGGTGGTCACATCTGCCACTATGAAAACCCAACGAAAGGGACGACGCAATCCAAGGTTGAGATCGAGGAATCTCCGACCATAGGTTGTGATGGGCGAACCGTTGGCGGCACGAAGTTGCAGAGACATTGGCCGCAGACGCTCTTCCTTCGTAGGTGGGATGACGCTAGCTTCTGCCCCAGTGTCAACTAGGAAGCGTATCCCAGAATGTCGATCAGTGACGAAGAAGAGGCGACATGGAAGTGGCTCGCCAGCGACGTTAGTCGCCGTCACGTGCTGGCTCACACGTTTCCCGCCTGGTTAGCCTCGAAGGTGCAAGGTCGAGTGCACTTTTTGGCATTGGCACCATAACGTTTATGGTACCAGCACAACCTGGGTTGGGATTGTCGCGATTTGGAACGTCTGCTACCGGTACGGGAGGCAGACCTGTTGCGCGAGCGAGACGTGCGACCGTTGAAGAACTACCAGACCGCATTTCGTTCCTGATGCTGCACAACTCTCATACAATTTTGAGATGTGAGTTATAACATCGAAACTTGTTGGCTCAACAGCCGAGGGAGGGTTTTTGAACGAATCCGTGGCAGTAGACAGTGCAGCTGAGATACTAGTGTTGGGTTTCGTAGCATCCACAGCTCTGTCAGCCGCTTCCGCCAACTCTATTAAGGGACACTTATGGAAGGGTGCGAGGATCCCTTGAACCGACTGTGGTAACCTCTGTAACCACAGTTGCTTGAGAAATGCTTCATCAATGTTGAAGTCAGCAATCAGCTGCTTCATCTGACGAAGCAGTTGCGTCGGCTTGCGATCACCCAGATGCACATCCCTGAAAAGTTCTTGCACTTTCTGCTGGTCAGTAAGTGCAACACGTTTGATGAGGGCGGTTTTGAGGCGATCGTAAAGATTCGGTGCTGGGTCATCTAGCACATCTGAGACGTCTTCAATCACATTTTCCGGTAAGCTGACGATGACTAAGTTGGACTTAGTTTCTTGTGATTGAATGTGTCTCAAGGCAAACTGAGCTTCCACATGGGAGAACCATGCAGATGGTCTGTGGGCCCAGAAGGTGGGAAGCTGGAGGGTTACGGCCATCTGCGCAGTCGAGTCGTTATCCGCCATTGATCAGGGAATTAACGAGGCACGATAGTGATAATAAAAAAAATTACAATGCAAAAATAACCAATGAGGAGTGCAATAATATAAAAAAAACGCTAGACGTGCCAAAAACAAAATTAGGCCAGACAAATCAACGCAAGAGAACAAAGGTACTAGACAAAATAAGAAGTGATACTCGGGCTCACCAATTTTGTAGGGATGCGTGTTACAATTCCGTAACGTTTGATCAACCCTACTTAATTTGATGTGCTCTAGTACCTGCTTAACCAGTACTTTACCTAACGTGTAAGTACTGGTAACAAAACACAAATCAAAAGAACTGATACGCAATGTATTTAAAGGAGCTATGTATTTAAGGTAAATGTAATAATAATGAATGAGGGAAAAGTTTAATCAACTTATCTGGCTTGTAAGGCTGAACTAGGGACTCGGAGTACGTGCGTGGTGATCAGCACAATGGAGCGCAAAAATGGCGTCCAAGCCTGCTCGGATGCATGCTCGTTAAAACAAAACTTAAAACACCCTAAGCATCCGGAGGCAAGCTAGAGATTTATTTAGTTAATTTAATTTAAACTATTTATTTTAGCCCTAGTTATATTTTGGTGCCAGGACGGTGCACTACACTGTCATGATCCTCATGCTGGAGGAGATTGGTTCCCACTGCATGAGAGCCTTCGATACCATTGGGAGGGGTACATCATGATAGCCACTCCATATCTCAGTGTGCTCGTGGTTGTCGTCTGGGTGACAGTATCGGAGTAGATTATTGACTCCACTGCAGTTGACAGTTTGCAGAGTCCACTCCCATTCCATCTGCTTTCGCAAATTCCAGGCACTTCAATTTGATACCTCTTCATCTCCTTTGCAATCTGGGCTGCCTTGCTGGGTTCAAACATCGTGTGGACATTCCATGTCCCTATGGTTACTTTCGCTTTCATCGAGAGAAGAGAAGACACGTCGGCCAATTGGCTTCCCGAATGCTTTCACCAACTGGCGTCATTTCGCCTCTCCGATTCCAGCGAGGAATAATTTTGTTATGATTTTTTATATTTTGTTTGTGCTTTGAAGTTTCTGTAGCGGTTAGATCTGTTTTACGGAGTAGGGTTGCTAGCCCTATGTCCAACCTTCCCTCTTTACCCGGGCTTAGGACCGGCTAGTAACTGGTGAACTAGTTAACCAGGCGAGGTTCCTGTACCCTATATGCCCGGGAAAAAGACCAACCCATTGAGCTGCCAGACTCTTCCAAGGACTTTGATAGGATTAATTCCTCTACGCTACATGAGAGAAGTTGGATTTCGAAAAGTGGAAAGGTAACCAGTTGTCTTGCAAATCGGTTGAATATTAAGTTGCAATCAGTTCGAGTTGGCTGTTTATTGTCTAATTGACTGCGATTCCAGGCTGAGTACTTCAAGGTTCGATCCTTGCTTCACCGCGTTTTGTCGCTTTCATAAGTGACCCATCTATCTCCGTGAAATTTCCTTCCCTAGTACACACCGACAATCTTGGGATTTGGTGCAAACGGCCAGCGGTATCTCAAATTGCCAGCACTACTTTTCTGAAATCCAGGAACGGACGACTGTCAACTGGTTCTCACTCAACACAAGTGAGCGAAAGGAACTGAAAAAGTATGGATCTAATCCTATTTATTACTTACCGGGTTGGGAAACTAACAGTTCAACATCGGGAAAGTCATGGAATTACCCCCAAGAAGAACATATCGAGCTTCCTGTCGCCAACTTGTTGTTAACGAGGCCCATCAAGGCCTTTGTTCATCGGACTTGAGGGCTGGCGATCAACTCTAGGACCACTCACAACAATGTATGGAACATGTACGTGCCCGCGATTCAAAAACAATTCAATTACTTTGCTGCCTCACTTAAAGAAGGATACTACCACCCTAAAATGTACTCAGAAAAGTGCTACGAAAAGAGGACGCCGTATAAGGATACAGTACCACCTTGGTCACCTAGACCCCGCCCAGGCTACAACCGACACAGCATAGGTGAATAATGAGCACGCGATTATAGCCCACACCACCTGCTGTAACTCCTAACTGCCCAACACATTTCTCCCAAGTGTCAGTCATAGGTTCTATATTTGAGATGGAAAATTCATTCCATCTGGTTCGAAGTAAAAATTTGCCACTTTTGAATTCCGTTTGCGGAGAAATTTGGGCAGCATTTTGTCTCATGTCTTCGAAGAGTATCTGAACCCCCACTTACAGCGTAGTCGTATAGATAGATCTTGCTGAAGAAGCTTCCTGTCGTCTTGGAGACCATGGGAAGAATATCAGGCAGGAACTGATTATTAGCGGTTTACTATCTCCTTCACCTGAGTTTTTCAGATGCCGTGAAATGAAGTGTTGCCACTCAGAGAGAAGATCGTTTCACAATAACTCGGATGTAGAACCCAAGGATTTTGTATAATTGAGGGTTTGAACTCTTTTCTGACGTGAACCATCTTAGGGGATTTTTGAATACACGAAACGAGTTTATGCATCCGCAAAACCGCATACTGTGGATAGTAGGAGAAAACCTATTCTATATCATCTCAACTAAGAAAGAACTTGGATTTTGTTTCTGTGTCTGAGTTGTTTAGGCTGGTGGCGCCCTTCTTGATTTCCGAATTGCGCTACAATGTGCGCTCTGAACCTTGATATCGATGCTTTTGAGAGAAGGATCGGTAGATTGTATGAAGACTGGCAGGTAGAGACAGAGATGTTTAAACTTAATGACTGTCAATTACAGGACTCTAAAAGCCAACTTTATGATGTAGAATCCATCGCAATACCAACTGGGAAAGTTGAAAGCGTATATGGCAAAACGCTGTCACTGCATGTAATGTCTATTTTTCCTTATTTCGTATTTAGATGTGGCTTTTTGGATATGAGTTGCAGGATACAGTGATTGTATTCAATAAGCAGTCAATGGTTGTCTTGTGTGGGAAGAAAAAGTTGGATTTCCTACAACCACTAGAGAATCGCCAATTTGGCAACCGCACAGTCGTTCTTATTCCAAGGAACCCAGTAAGTAAATAGTATGTTTATCTAGGTTTAGGCTGATAAAGATAAGGCAGGTATCAAGAAGCTTATTGATAGCATGAAGTCTGCCGGGAAGAGTGGCAAAGTTGGCCATTTAGCGAAGGACAAATTTGTATCGGAGTTTACTGAAGCTTTCTCCTCATCCTTACGAGATGAAAACTTCCAACTGGTTGATATCTCAAACTCAATAAGTGAAATTTTGGCTGTTAAAGACGATACGGAATTAGCTTTGTTGAAAAAGGCTTCAGATGTTACGTGCAATCTTTTCACCAAACACCTGAAAGAGCAGATAATGGACGTCATCGATTCAGACAGGGTAAGTATCTTTTGGTTGAGTACTCCCGAGTGATAGTTGACGCCAAAGTAGGTAGTCCATGCTTAATCGCGTAAAATGTAACGTACGCATCTGGTTTTCATATTTCGAGAAGCAACGGTGTTCAGAGGGGAATATATGCTTCCTGAAGTATTTTAATGATAGCTGCATAAAACTAGCAACCTACCAAGTGACGTCAAATCAACAGTCAGGAAGCCTGAATAGTCTCCACAAGTATGTTCCTAACTTAGATCAAGCCCGAAACCAACTCAAACTTCCTTTGTTAGCGTAGCTCTAACCCTAGACTGTCTTGTGTAGACACCTTCCTGATTTTCAAGAGTTCGTTTTCAGTATTTAGCCGAGGTGTCTGGGTGTCGAGGGAAATTTAGTAGGTCTGGTTTTTGTTACATATCTCTCACATATTGCTATCACGAGTCTAGCATCAAATATTCACCTTGCTCCATGAACCAACCAAGTAGTTTAACAACACTAAGTGTTCATAGTCTACTGCACCACTCAAACAATATTTTTTACCCCAAGCAGACTGTTTCACCACCACAGACTCCGCTCTTGTAGCAGATTGAACTTTCGGAGTGTCCCTACACCATCAGTGATGCGAATTTTCGGAAACAACCATGGCAATTATACATACTCATAGGTTTTCAAATCATCCTCAAAGTACAGTTTAGTTTTTGATGTGGTCACTGTGCAGTAGTTTGCTTTATTATTTTAAACTCTTTGAAAGATTGATTTGAAAACCTATAGTTGTATTTTAGTCAGTAAAGACAAGTATTGCACTTGGAAAAGATGTATTAATGCGATTTGATTTTTTTTGGCAGACTGTTAGTTTAAAATTCAGTTCCCCTTACTGAATGCAAACGAAATACTATATTTGACTACAAACAGACTGGAAGTGTAAGTTAAATGGAGTGGCTTGTCGTGATAGTCGATCTCGAAGAATCAAATATATCTATCTGAAATTCTTTGTATTAATCGAACCACTAATTAGTATATTTCTCGTGTAGTCGCCTATAACTAGTTTGCCCCTTATCCTTCTAAAATCTCAGAATGGTATGGAGAAATGCAACCTATTTTTTTTTACCCTTAATGCATATAGTGTTTACATCTACATTAACGTGATTCCTGTTCAGCATCATTAGTGTCCGTAGTTCAGTGGTCTAGATATTAGCCAACTAGTCACAGGTTCCTATTCAGTTCTACCCAGAAGTGTATAACGAAGCAATATAATAAAAACACGGTGTTTGACTCAGCGATATCAGTGTACTAAGTTGCTGCTCTGTATTCATACCAGGCTTCGGGTTACATCTTGTATGGGAGTTTGTAATATTACTTCATTTCTCAGGGTCAGGCAGGTAGATGAAGGCTTGGACCCAAGGCAGACTATTTGAGAGCCTGGCATCTCAGATAGTGAGCTACCACAATTGGATTGTACTTGTTTGCTTTTCATCTACTCTTTGTCTTTTATTCACTAAAATAATTAACGAATTCTGATCAATTTCCGCACAAATCAGATCAATGCCCTAATGTTCGCAGATTCATTTTTGGCAAAAAAAGTACACTGTTGCCCTTATTTTTGAAATTACAGTTGCCGTTTAGTAACGTTATTGAAGTCATTTCAAGCGGAGATGGTTTCTAATATGTCCCTTGCTACCTGTTCAATGTTCAGTTCATTCTTTTCACACCGTCCTTCTAACCTCCAAAATCTCACTCTGGCCTACAGTATTTGGCTTGCGGCAGTATACAGTTCTCTTTTCCAGCTTTAGCAAAATTGAATCTCAGTGTAAACGTCTGACAGTCAGGCTTATGTCGCGTGGGCTCAGTGATCTAGCGAAGCCAATCCCTTTTCTTCTTCGTGTGCTATACGGGAACAGCTTCGATAGTGTGGGCATTCGGTATACAAAACCCAACTAACCATAATCGACCTTGCTTTTGTCTCCTCCCTTGTCTTTACTTCTTGATATTAACACCAAGCCCCTTAAAACTTTCCCGACCGTTCGTTCTTTAACCATTGATAAAATACCTTTCATAGTCTCCTAAAATTTTCCTAATTCATATTGGAGCTTTCAACGTCCGAATCATATATTAAATCGAACTATCATAGTCTCTGCAAATCCCTAAAACCTCAAGTTATGGATATATAATGTGTTTCTGAGAAACGCGAACAGGTTATTGATTTTACCTGCCTTGGCCAGTCTGGTGAATCTGCAAAACCCAACTAACGTGGACCCAGTGATTCAATGACTATTTCTCATGGACTCGCTGGTGTAGGCATAGCACTAAGTTGTTGAGCAGAAAGTGTACTTCCTTGCTGTATACCAATGAACAGTTGTTTGCGTGCCGTTTGACTGAATGCATTTGTAAGAACTAGAAAGGACCGTAAGACTAGCCAATGCCTACTCATACTGTCCACCTGCACATCAAACGACCGCAATTCGGATGATGCAAATGATGAATTCTATCCAAAGCTGGTACGTGAAGCAAAGCGTTCAAGTATAGTCCTAGTAGCAGGTGACTTCAATGTTCGAATAGAGAAGCCGAGACAATCGTGAGGGTGTTTGGGACTTATGTGTGGTATCCCATGTCAAAAACTGACAGCGGTGATCGTGTACTTCAATTTTGTTCAGACAGTCACATGTTTCTGGCTAAACACTAATTTCATGCATATGAAGTGACACTATTTCACCTGCTGTTTGCTGATATCATGTCGCTGTAAGCCATCAGCTAAGGATTGCTGTTCCTTGTGGAATATTTGCTTGAATTCCAATCACACGCTAGTGTGTGGACGTATATGCTTGCGCCTTACCGATCTCAGGAAACTGACAGCAGTGAGATGCTCGAATGTAAGATGCAAACACTAAGTGTGTGGTTCGGGGGGAGGTAGTTGAGCCACTATCTAAACATGACTGAGTCTCCTCCTCCGGAAGCGTATGGTAACATTCAGTTCATCCTAGAAACAGCGTTTAAGATAGTTGGTATATGTGTCCGAGTTTTAACAAAACTCAGTGGATTTCTACAACCTCATCTGAAATTATTGTTGCGAGGTGACTTACTGCAACGGCTCTGACCACAATGAGTAACGAAAGCAGCTGAAATGTACATTGACTTAGAGTTTTCACAATGATCGCTAACAATAGTGGTTGGTGAAAGACATACAGAAAGCATCAGCTTTAGATATTACTCGGTAATTATTTCGGTTTGTTAAGGATACTGGCAAGAAAAAGAAGACGATAGTTAGTGAGACCATTATCGAGAAAAATGTATTAGGGATGTCTAATCCCTGAGAAAAACTAACTGATAATATGTATATATTATCATTGTAAAATTTAAACCCTACTTCGTGCCCGTTTTACTTCATGCAATATTACCTATTCCTACCGCGGTTTAGGATACTAAACGCTGATTGGTTCATTTTTTACTTTGAATATGTTATGTCGTTTTCCCTGGCTAAGGCCGTCTAAGGGTATATAAAATGACGGAATTTTCAGCTACAAAGATCATTAGGTTGAAGTAAATATACATCCAGTCGCGTTGTTTTCGTGTTCTGGCGTCAGCTAAATATCGTGTTCTTGAGAAGTCACTATTCTCATCCATCCAGATCAACCTAGGACCAGGCATTAGGTTGATCTGGATGGATGAGAACAGTGACTTTTCAAGAACACGATATTCTATCGTTAATCGTACTGCGTCGAAGCATTATATCGTAATATATACCACAAATCATAACAGAATGAGACCCTGGTAACCTCTCAGGTTACGTGAAGCACTTTAAAACCCATTTGAACTGACCCACAGCAACGCTTCAGTTGCCCAGCACCCAGCCCGAATCTGAATGGAAAGCTGGTGTCAGTGGTCTGACTCATCGAAATTAAGAGGGCTGTTTCAAGCGTAAAGCACCCTGACGGTTCGCCACCATATGTTTTAAGGATGGAGGTAATAAATTACTGAATTGATTAACGTAGATACTGGGTAGTAGTGTGCGGGAATCAGAGGTAGTCCTGTCGCACTGATCTATGTCACTGATTATTCTAGTCTGCAAGAAGGAAGAAAAGTCCTGTCACAACTATAGGGGAGTCTTTTTGACCCTTATCGTACCCAAGATCCTTGGGATCATTGCTATCGTACGCTTAACTGGAGATCGAAAACGGCATACTCAAGCAAACCATTCTGGTTTCGGAATCGGATGAGAGGGCCTGGATCATATCTGCACCCTACGACAGGTTCTGAAACGTACTTACTGGCGTCCGACACTTGCTATATTTCTTAACCTGAGGGCGAGACTAGACAGTGTTAACTGAGAATTGTTTTGGCAGTGTTTGACTGTGAAGCAAGTACCGAGCAAGTGTGTAACTCTATTCAAAGCCATATACTCGAACTGACTGACTGACAAGATCAACGTAGAACCTTACACAGGAGTGCAAGTGCAACCGTGTAAGGGCTTATGGAGAGTTATCATCTTAATCGCTATCTGCCACCGATGTTCTCTGTCACCATTCCTGTCCAGTTTCTTTATAGCTGTATTAATGGATACAACCTTAGGTACCTCTGACTACTCATATACAAAACGTCTGTTTGGCCTTTGCCAACTTACACTGTTTGACGGGATATCCGACCACTTATTGAAGGACGAGTGTACTGCACTGCATTCCACTCTGTTCTATAATATGGCCGTGGAACATGGCCACTGAAGATGTGAAGTGGTTGCAGATTGGTTGACCACAGGTGTTTTCGCAGCGCTAATGGCCTATGGCGGAAACTTTGTGTGAGCAGTGTGGAGGTTAAGCGAAGAGTAAGGAAAGCAAGTCAATCGATGAGACTGTGAACCTTCAGCAACTGAGTGGTTTGGATACGTGTTGCGCTTGTCTATCCACCATTTACTTTGATCTACAATATTAGCTGAGGCAAGATTGGGTAGTAAAAAGACTCAGGGTGGTCAGGACAAGACGTAACACCAGTCCATGAAGTCACCGAATATTGGTCTTGGCCATATGGTGAGGTGTAAACTCGTGGTTTGTGTCGTTGAGACAGTAGGAGTCTGCGTTTGGAAACCCTAAGTGACACAGCTGAAAATCGGTCACAGTGGCACCGATGTATTCACCTTTCGATCGTTTCTGAAATTTGAACATTTTTAATTACCCTTATTTTCATACTCTTTCTCCTCCCGTACATCTTTGTCTTCCTTGATATTACTTTTCCTTTGCATGCTGCTATAAAGCATGACAACTTGGAGTGATACACTTGTGTGTAACAACTTGTGTGTGTTGATTTTGTCTGTCTGTGTTCTTTGTTACTCAGTTGTAGGGAACTGCGTCTCATGTATCTAAGCCGTTGACTTTCAACCAATGGTCCCCTAGTTGGGAACTCGCCCTTCCTACCGAGTTTTGAAAGACGAGGAGGTATCATCAGCCACCATGCCATAGGCGTATGAGCACGCACGTAGTGGCTGATATAGTTTCTTGCTTTTAGTCTGTTGTCTACACTTTAGTATCCATTCATCTCCGTATTTTGTGTACTAATGTTGTAATAAATTCCTGAGCAGTTGTAGTAAATTGGCATATCTTGTCACTAAGTGATTGTACCTACCTTAAGTTCATCATTTCTTTACAGAAAGTAAAACATGAGAAGCTCTCTAGTGGTTGTCAAAGTGCCCTACGAAATCCAAGCCTTCTGTCAGGTTTGGATCCTGACAGCGTGGAAATGTGTTACGATCCAATAGTTCAGAGTGGAGGGACATACAATCTTAAGTTCAGTATTGAGAGGTAAGTTTTTTGTGCATAGTTCTTTATTGGACGTTTTTTGATATGAACTTTCACAAACTCTTTTATATAACTCGATGTTTAGTTTTAACTGCTCGTGATGGATGTGTCGTTGAATAGTTGAGAGGCCTTGGCACAACTGAGTATATGAATATACGGGTACACCATTTGATTTAGATAAAAGATTGAAATTTTGAGACCTGTGTTTGCATAAATGCCTACTTATCTGTTATTCTTATTTTCGGCGGAGTACCTTCTGCACCCATTATACTTGTTATATATTTATTTTAGCCCAAATTGGCACAACACTTTCAAGTCAAAAAATGAAGTGGTCAAATAATTGCCTTTATTTAATACACTCAAAAAAAAACTCTGCACTAAACGTGTGCTGCTTTTCATAAATCGAGGACATAGAACAAAGCATGATCATCATATTTGATGACATCTAAACCCGGCTAGTCTCATGATCTATAAGTCAACCCGCCAAGGAAATCATAACACCAACAGATGTTAAACTAATAAAAGTATTTTTCATTTCACCATATTAAGCACTCACCACCAATTTCATATTTATAAAACAGTAAACTTCTGGGATGATATTCCTCTAATATGTATCCAAGTCATGGAAGCTAGTCTCTAGTAATGACTTCACTAGAGGAATGATAGTTTTCACACCAAAATATTTACCATCACACCTTGAAATGACTTAAATGTGATGTTTCCACTTTATTTGAACAGTTATTGGAAAATGATATTAGAGAAATGTTTATTAGGACAGAGTTGATTAGTACAATACATACAATTGCCCTTGGCGGTACTCGGGTGGTATACATTGTCTAAAGCTTAACGAGCAATTTGAATCTACAAAAAGATCCCTTTGATCATTAAAGTTGATGGGTTTTAGGGATTAAACTCCATTTATTTACTTTGGAAATTAGTAGTTGAACTATTCTGAAGAGAGTTTATTCTTATGGTAGGTTGCATAGATTAATTTTTTCACTAAGGATAATCATTTTGATTGGTGGTGGACCCTCAATATTTGAAATGAATTAAATCAAGTAAGACTGAAGTAAGCAAAGCTGGGTATTAGTGACTAGGTAAATGGTTTATTCTAAGCAATAGTTAAATTTCGATCGCTTACCCCAGTAGTATACCGAAATGCCGTTTCTCTTTGATCATTCATAACCTCCAATTCAGAAGTAGATTAAATCTTTTTTCCTGTTAGCTATCCAATTCTTAAAGGCTTACTTGATAGAAACTGTAGATACACGATATTTATTTTCTATAAGATTTCACAATGCGAATTTAACTTTCTAACTGGTTGATTCTAGCTATCCTCTAACTAATACCAACAGAGATGTTTTATGAATTAGTAGTCATAGTTTCAACTCCTTATCTATAAGGTTTCATTTTGTTTTAATGAAATTTAAAACATGATAAATTATGAATTCTATTTGTTATCATCTAATTTTTTATATATTCTACACATCTATTGACAAAATAATCTTCAATCTGTCTTCTAGTGATTCCCGTATTCTACATTTTGGAATTATTCTTTGCTCCTTGGGAGTACGCTACCAATCCTACTGTTCTAATGTAATTCGTTCACTAATGGTAAACCCTACTGATGAACAGTCATCCAATTACAGTTATCTACATGATCTATTCGACTGGTGCATTGAGCAAATTAAGCCAGGTAAAGCTATACAATTGATATTTGTGTTATTTTCAAGAAGTCTATAATGAGAAATAGTTTTCTTTGAAAAAAGGTCTAAGGGATACAAGTTCGTCTTCATGTTTACTAGTCTTCATATTCGGTATACTCTGCTTACCTTTGAAAGGTGTAAAGGCTAAAACAGTTAACTTTTGTATGAGTATCTGTGTTCAAGTTGATGTATAATTTCTTCAAGTCTTACATCATCTTTATGCATTCTTTATATTTTCTGACTTACATAACTTGCTAAACAGACTATTTTCTACTTTTGTATCCCTCTGACTGATATTTAATCTTGGTTATGTGTCAGGAGATGTTCTTTACTTGAAATGTTTATACTTTTTTTTAATCTTTGAAATTGAAAAAATAAAGAAATACAACTCTAACTGGTACAGATATCCATCTACAACGCTGTGCACTACAGTTATTGTGTACGAACTTGTAGCTGTTTAAGTCATAAGAATATGAAATAAGGTTTGAAATGAGAACCCATTGTTTGAAAGTCGATGGACACTTAAGACGCTCAAGTTAAGGTGTTTAACTTACTTCATTCAAGTAGTAGTGCGGTTTCTCATTGCTTAATTATTGATGTGTACCTAATCATTTTCAAAAAGCCATTTAACTTCACAAAAATATTCTTTTCGATAACTCCTTCTTCAAACCCTACAGTTATATGTATATATTGAGGAATCATGCGTCAACAATATTGAGATCTTGCTTATGAGTTTGTTAATAATATTTACTATACAGAAACATCTTGTAAGGAATGTAAGTGGTAAAGTTAATTGTTACTGGAACTCAATGCAACAAAGTGTTTGATTGTCTAGATGATTACACAGCTTATCTAACACTATAGTTCAATAAAACCAATAGGAAAGTGTTTATGAGAACTTAAAGGAAATAAACTAATAAAGGTAATTTAAGGAATAATAGCTTGACAGTATGTTACTACTGTTGAAGTACAAAGTAGGTTAAGAGAATTCGTTAAAATAATTTCAGATTATCGGGATGAAGGGTTATCCGCAGTATATAATTAGAAAGTTAGGTTACGTGGGATAAGACGTTAAGGAATTTATGCGTCTCAAATCGAGCCACTTTAGTTGTAGCGGCAACACTTGCTTTATTTAAATACATAATCTCAATGGTTTGTTCTTGATTGCCACTACTTCTACAATCTGAAGGACCCGGAGCTGGGTACCTTTGCGCAAGTTGATGGGAACCCGGTACGGAAAACTGCTCATTTATATCCACTTTATGATTCACTCCAACTAAGTATTCTCTTATGGAACTGGTATTGGTTTTTACCCACACCTTTACTTAACTAAGGGCGGGGGGAGGGTTGTTCGGGAGCACGATAAATTAAATTCCTAGAGCAGTGACCGAGATAACTGACTCCACAGAAGCAGTCAGACTGATAAACACAACAATTTATCAGGATTAAATGTTCTCTAAATAGATGTGCGTCGTCTGTGAATTAATATCTTGCTGAACACATCACCTCTAAATTACGCCCGAATGTATAATGGTTTTCTGTCTGACCGTTAGAACATCCTTTCTTGCAGTTTTTGTAATATGTTTCTTTATAAGTTGTTATTCATCGTAGACTGACATCAGTTGGAGGAAAAAAGGAATCCTGAGAGCACTGGACAGCGATGCGCACCCACGACCCTGCACTCCAGAGACCGAACCCCACGACCTTCAGGTTCCGCGGCCAGCACGTTACCACTGAGCCGCTGGGTCAGAATCGAATGGTCCATATTTATAACTTCTACTAGCTCCAAATCCCCACAACTCCCTCAAAGTTTCTTTATAAGTTTACCAGGATACCCATTTTTGATTAGTATCTTGCCCAAAGTTGTCAATTCTTCCTCAGTTGTATCCTACTAAACTTTTTACTACTTTTGTACTGAATAGGAACGAAGTTGAGAAAATGTATGTGTATTGTTCCGTCCTAAATGAATTCCTCTTTATCGACCCATCTTTTCACAATTTTTAGCAAGCGGATATGTAGATGAGAATGTGAACAAATCTGTCTGTATGTATTTATAGCATAGTTTAATAAATCTCACTGTTTCTCTTTTCACAGGTGTTAAGATATCTGACTTTTGTCAAGCTATCGCGGATAAAGTTTCCTCAGAACGTCCTAAGTTGGCTGAAAATCTCTTGCGTAATTATGGGTGAGTGTAAAATATAAATTTTATTAACGTTTCAAATCTATGATAAATCAATAATATCTCGGACTAAAAACGTTTGTGAGTCGAAGCGAACCCTATTTATAGAGTTTACAATAGCCTTAAAAGACAAGGAATAGTTAGTGCATTTAAAGAGGCAGAAGCCAATCAGAAAGCTAGCAGGTCATACGAAATATGACGCATGCGCGGGAAGAAAAGCGCGAAATAACCCAGTTTAACATAGTGTAAAAGTGAGTGCTTGCACAATCGAAAAATCGTTATTTGACTGACTGATGCCGACGTAGAACCTGGCACACAGGTGTATCGGCTCAAGTTGCCACACTTCACAGTAGTATACAAAGAACAGATGGATAGAGGAAGAGTGATATCAAGGTTGTGTCAGAGAATAAACAATTTGAAGATAAAGGTTAATGCGAATATTCAATCTTATGTTGTTAAGGAAAGAAAACATTTGCGCCAATGTCACCGATTTCCAGCCATATCACCAAGAGTCTTCATCCACTGATTCCTGTCGTATCGGAAACCCCAGTCAGGTAGTCTATATTTCCCCGCACGGCTCGAACCTACAGTCAGGGACTTGATCAACTGGTGCCGTGTCTTAGTCTGGTCACTGTGAACACTGTATGCCAACATAATCCAGCTTCAGCTAGCACGGGAAATCAGGGTATACAGTGGCTGGATACGGGCAGTACAGATGCATGACATCTCAATCGACTGAAGTTCACAGCCTCATCAATCAACTTGCTTGTCTTGTCTAAGTACCCTTCGCCCGAGCTCAACATTGTTCCCACAGTGATTCCACGAAACTCGAGCAATGCTACAAAGATCAAAACCTTGCAAATACTTAATGTCTTCTATTTTCAACGGTCATGTCTCATAGGACAGAACGAACTGAAGCACAGTATACTCGTAGTTTGGTAGGTAGTCGGATATCTCACCAATGGACGTCAAAGGTGATGCAATTCAGCAAATCCGAAACGATCGATATTTACGAGTTTATCAACTAATCAGACAACCTCTGAATGACTGGACAAAGGTTCACTGATTAGAGCCATGCCTCATTAGTCCAGGCACTCATTTTTCATCCATTGGCTTGCGAGTCCGAACTCTGTCCCCCCCCCCACCATTATGGTTCATGGAGTCAGATATTACCACTAACCTACATACAATTGATGTTGTTCACAGCCTAGTGTACGAATCTGTACATGATTACTTATTTACATTATATTACTTATTTTATGACATTTTGTCAACTTCACCTACTCATAGTACATTACTACCATCATTGTGATTAGTTTAACAATGTGTATTCTGATTTGTTTTTATATTGTTCCGTTGATGTACTCCTTATTTAGGGTCTGTTTTAAATTCCATTGCTTACTGTTTATCATTTTGGTTGTAAATTTTGATGAAAACCGAATTTCAAGTTGTTATTCATCGTAGACTGACATCAGTTGGAGGAACAAAGGAATCCTGGGAGCACTGGACAGCTGTTTCACCCTAGTATGGGACTCCTCAGCAGTGCAGAAAATTCAATTGAACTGCTGCTCATTAGTGACTAGCTTCGAGAAGTATTCTTGAAGTTCCAATGAGAAGTCGTGACCGGTGGAGTCAAGCCTGATGGTTGTGAGGACAAACACCCAACGATGACATTGGGTGGCGGTTTGCGCTATATCGTGAGCTAACAGAAGTTGGAAATATGGAGCATTGGATTCCGACCCAGTGGCTCAATGGTAACGCACTGGTCGCGGAACCTGAAGGTAGCGGGTTCGATCCCTGCTGGTGTGGGGTCGTGGGTACGCACTGTTGAGGAATCCCATACTAGGACGAAACAGCTGTCCAGTGCTCCCAGGATTCCTTTGTTCCTCTAACTGATGTCAGTCTACGATGAATAACAATTTGAAATATTTCCAAATCTCCACAACTCCCTCAAAAATTCAGAAAAGCGAATTCACATGTCTTGCTGGGAAACTTCACAATTTGTCAGTTTTGATCCATCTGTATGTATTATATTTACTCTTTCACAGGTTTGTAACAGGGATTGAGTTTCGGGATAGTAATCTTTTACTGTCACCAAAATCCACATCAATTTTTCGTCGAGGAATGACGCTTAATTTTAACATAGGTTTCCAGGTTAGTATTGAAAATGAATACTTTATAAATATGTGCAATATTTTCGTAATGATAAGAAATTTTATCTTGTCATATGAATAATTTCTCTTTGGCCAAAACATAATTATTTATTATTTTTTTCTTGCGTTCCTAGTGAAACATAGGGCTTCACTAGCACACCTCCATTGCACTCTCTTCTCTGCAGTCTTTTGAACCTGGCGCCACGACTGCCCACATGCTTTCGTTTCTTCCTCACACAATCTCCTCCATGTCACCCTGGCCTCGGACGCCCAACTCGTCATTTCCCCTTTGGGTTCCACTCGAGGACCTGACCTGGCACGTGATGTTCCCAAACGGTCCTCTCAGTGCATGTCCAATCCAATCCAATCGATCTCCACTTCCTTCTGCATATTTGTTGGGTGATGGGTTGTTGTTTGGTTGGTTGGTTGATTCTTTGCCAGGCGGGAGTTGCTTGTTGCCTGTTCCTTTTATTCTGGCTATGTGATCTCCAGTGTCAGTATGGAGTGAGCGTAGGTGGAAGCCGTTGATGATGTGTGTGTGTGTAGTTTGTTGGAGATGCTTTTCGTAACGTGCCAAGTCTGTGAAGCGCATAGTATAGAAGTACTGACCTGAGTGACATTGATGTTTAAAATCGGTATATTGTTCTTGCTTTATGCTGAGTGGAGTACAGCGGGGTGGAGTGTAGTGGATCTGCACACTGATGATTTCAGATTGTTGAAGGCGTGTCATGCTGTCTTTGTGATCTTGGGTTTTCCATCTTCATATGTGTCGCCGTCACCGTCTGGCGTAGTTGAGACGATGCTGCCGTGCGTAGGTGGTAGGTAAATATCCAACTAAACCATTGGGATTAAAATAGTTGTGCTCACTAGCCATACTGTTTACCCAAAAAGTTGCAATGATCATTACGAGTAGTTGGTGGCTAGCAAAATCTTGTCTAAATATTTAACAACTAGTAGCAGAACTATCAAGTGAGATTTACCAATGTTTAAAATGGAGTTGCATGTTAACTTAAGGTGTTGGTGAGTGGTGGTGCTTGTGGGGTAGGTGGGCGAGTGTTGTTGGAAGGCTCCAGATTTGGATAGAAAAAACTATTTATCTCCACTTTTTTTTAAATTGTCGTTTGTGCTCCATTTTTTACGGTATAGCCAATAAGTTAATTTTTTTCCACTATTTTCAAGGTAGTTCGCTGATTGGTTATTGCTTACTTTTACTATGCCAATATTTCAAATTCTGGACAAGATCATACATCATGTATATAAACATATGTGCATTCGGGTTAATTGACTAATCTTTTTTGGGGGAATAAATTCTCTTTTCTAGTTAAGTCTTCTCTGTTTCGTTCAAGTTGAAGTCAATAGATATTGCATACGAAGGTAGCTGTCAGTCAAACCTGAGTATTGTAACCTTTTAAAATATATAACAATTGTATCATTGGAATTGACTTGACTATATTTTACACAAGCCCGAATCGCAGGTTTGGGAAAATGATATAATCATGGATATCACTGATCTCTCTTCATAGTGTTAAATGCAAAAATTGTTGGTATAAAATCCACTATAATATTGTGTGTCTATATACAAGTTTATTTACGGGTAAATATGATTTTCATGAAAAAGTTTTATTTCATTTGTCACTTGCACTCACAAACTGTATACTATCCTTTTTCAACATAAAATTTGGTTAGAAGACAATGGTCATTATCTTATCTATACTTTATATATACGTATTGGCTAACAGCAGTCTAAGTAAGTGGTTGAGGTACTTCACTGACTGTCACTTGAAATGTAGAACTTGTCACATCTCTATTCATTGTATAATTTTGACTTATCGGCTTAAATGTTCAGCTGGAAAACATGTTAAATGCCATCTTGTTTCTGGTGAGATGCGTATCACAACCCTCTGGTTTAATTAAAGGTGTATCTAAAAGGAAACAACAGTGTATATCCACATATGTCTCTGCTAAACATACAAATCCACATAGAACCTGATACAGAAGTGCCTCAGTTCAAGTTTCCAGACTGTACAGTAGCATTCAAAGAAGTATCTAGTAAAGTCTACTGCTGTGGTTCCAGACTATTTGCTCAATAATTCACTGAAGTTGATATAGTTAGTGATTTATCAATAGATAAAACTTTAACTTTATTGTCGTCCAACAATTAATATACCATATATTAACATCATTTTCATGTTTGTTTCTTCCCATTTACTAGAATCTAGTGAATGGTAATGGTAAATCTCAGGCTGAAAAACAATATGCTCTCTGGTTAGGTGATGTGTTAGCCGTGGGTGTTGGCGATAGTGGAGGAAATACAGTGTTCACATTAGCTGCAAAACGTCGTCCTAAATCAATCAGTCTGTATATAAAAGAAGAAGAAGATGAAGAAGAAGAGGATGAAGATGAGGAAGTGGATGTTGGAAAACAAATATCCGGAGATAAAAAGACTACACGTTCCACAAATGGAACCAGTTCAGCTGCAAGCTCTAAAAAGCAAACAATTCCAAATGGTGATGGAGCTATGAATGCACAAGAACTGCTTGGCAGAGGACATCGTCGAGCTATTATTGAACAGAAAACACGAGTAAGTAAATCTATTCTCATACATGTTTAAATTCATAGAAATCTGTTCTTCACTTTACTTGAAAATCTCCTCATATGTAGTCTTTTTCTGTTATGTAACATGGTAATCTTAGATGATATCATCGCGAGTATCGTTTATCCATGACGTGTATCAGATTTTATTATTTTATCAATATTATTATTTCCCTCCGGGTTCCTATTTGAACACAGGGCTTCACTAGCACGTCGCCATTTCACTCTTCTCTCTGCAGTCTTTACAACATGGCTACACGACTTCCCACAAGCTTTCATTTCTTCCTCACACAATCTCCTCCATGTCACCCTGGCCTCGGACGCTCAACTCGTCGTTTCCCTCGAGGTTTCACTCGAGGACCTGACCTGGCACGTGATGTCCCTGAGTAGTCTTCTCAGTGTATGCCCAATCGATCTCCACTTCCTTCTGCATATTTGTTGGGTGATGGGTTGTTGGTTGGAACGTTACCAGCCAGCCAGAGTTCCTTGTTGCTTATTGTTTGTGGCCATCTGATCTTCAGTATTGAGTCAGCGTAGGTGGCAGTTGTTGATGAATGTGTGTCGTTTGTTGGAGATGGTTTTCGTGATGCGCCAAGTTTCTGGAGCATCACATAGTAGCACTGACTTGACTGACATTGGTGTTTAGAATCCAGATGCTGACTGGAGTAGATGTCCACACTGGTTCCAGGTTATTGGAAGCCTGTCTTGCTATCTTTCCGATCTTGATTTTGATATCTTCATGTGTGCCGTCGTCGTCTGTAGTTGAAACGATGCTGTCCTGCCTTGGGTAGGTGTAAGAGACCACTTTCTTTAGGTTTCTCCCTTTGATGGTTATTGGTGCTTGTTGTTGATGCTGTTGTTGGTTGGTTTATCTTCATCACCCCTGTCTTCTCTACGTTCACTTGAAGTCCCGTTTTCTCTGCCTCTTCTGTCAACTTATTGCTTTTTGCCTGTAGATCTTCGAGTTTGTGCGACATTAGACATGAATCATCATCGGCGAATCCAAATCTTGTTCTGTGGTCTTTTCATCAGTCCAGTCAGCGTATGCCCACCTTCTCGCTCCTCACGGTTTGCTGCATGATCCAGTTGAGTCCAGCCAACCACAACATAATCAGGAATATCATCGGTAATTGATAGAAGGCAGCCTTGTCTTACTCCTGTCTTCGCTTCAAAGGTGTCACTAGGCTTTCCATTGTGGATCACTCGGCATCTGGCGTCTTCATATAGCTGTTGAATGAGGTCGATAAAGGTTTGTGGCACCAAATTCGTAGTTTTGAAGTAGTTACCAAATTACTTCTCGGTCGACGCTGTCAAAGGCCTCTTCAAAGTCGATAAAGTTGAGGTAAAAGAGTTGACTGCCATTCAATGTTCTGTTCTGTGATGATGCGTAGCGTAGTGTTGCAATTTGATCCCCACATGATTTGTTCTCCCTGAGTCCAGCCAGCCTGTTCTGGTCGTCATTTTGAATCCAGCGCATTGTTTAGTCTCTCCAGGATGATGCGGCATAATATTTTGCTTGGGGTGGACACCAGCATGATTCCGTGTCAGTTTTTGCATTGACTTAGGTCACCCACCTTTCTTTGGGAGTTTGCCAAGGTAAACGTTCTTCCAGTCAATCGGCAGGTACGCTTCCTTCCTTCGAAACCTTCTGCAATAGTGGTGTGAGCATGTCAGCTGTTGTTTCTGCGTCTTCTCGAGTGCTTCTGGTGTAATTCCATCTGGTCTTGTTGCTTTCCCGAATTTCAGCAGTTTTATGGCATTCAAGACCTGTTTTTGTCGGAGGGCGTGTGTTCACTGGTAGTTCTGTGGTTCGTAGTGGTATTTCTGAACGAGTTGCAGGTGGTGGTTATCGATTCATGAGTTTATTGATGTGGTCAGACCATTGTTTTCTTTGTTTCTCGTATTTGGTAACTAAGTTTCTTTCACTATCTTTTATTGCTTTCATCTGCGTTGATCTCTTCCCAGATAGTAACCTGGTTATTTGATACAATGTTGTCAGGTCTCCCCTACCTGCAGTCTGTTCTGCTTCACTTGCCAGTGTGTCGTAGAAAAAAGTGTCTTTTGTCTTTTCGTGCACTCTTCTTCACTTCTTTGTCCAGTGTAGTGTTTTATAGGTTATGCTCAATCCCTATTCTCGTTGTTCATCCCTGCACTGCACAGGTTCATATTCTGCTTCATCATCCTCCTCTCCCTATTCTATCAACTTACATGTGTCCTTCGAGATCCATTCCATTTCAGTCCTTATCTTGCTTCTTTTTCCTTCCTAATAAGGTTATGCAGGTTTCTTTCCATATCGCTTTCAAAGAGTTCCAGTGTTCTTCTACTCAGGTTTCTTCAGGGATGTCCCTCGATATCTCCCATTTTGTCTTGATGGCTGATGTGAAGATGTCCCTTATAGTTTCGTGCTTCGGTTTCTGCTCCGTGTGTTGAGCTTGAACTGTGGTCTATCACAAACTTCCTTGTAGGCTTTCAACTTGGTATTGCAGTTAGGTTCCCTGCACTAGATAGTCTGATGGTCGGAGCCTACATGTGCTCCCCTTCTTGATGTTGTGTCAAGTAAGCTGCGTCTCCACTTTCGTGAGATTGAGATGAAGTCGATCTGACTTTTAGTGTGTCCTGGTATCTGATTAAATCCATGTCGCTTTGTGAATATTCTTGTGTTTGTATACACTGCCTCACTGCAATCAGCAAATCGTTGAATGCACAGAATTCTGCGAACAGTTCTCCATTCTCATTCATTTCACCATATGGTTCTCGACCCATGATTGGTTCTCTTCCTGTGTTGTCCACTCCCAGTTTGACATTTGTGTCACCCATTAGAATTTTGATGTCGCCAACTGGATTGAGGTCTTGTCCAGTACTAATTCTAGTTGTCTGTATCTGATAGTTTTCTCAATATACTTTTAGCGTATTTCTTCTCCATTTGCATAAGTGAATCCGAAGAAGTGTTTGTGATTTATGTATATAAAGTTTTAATTACCATACTTCGGAGTCAGTAGTCATTTAACCCCACCAATCATCAGTCTATAATTTATGAACTGATTGTTCTAGCCTACGTTAGTCTAGTGCACTTGAAACTTAGATTGCTGGTATCAAAAATTGAATAGTCTTACTATGCTCATTGTCTAATTTTTGAACATATTGTCTTCCATTGTCTCTTCCTCCCCCTCCACCGACACACATAGTTGTAGTGAGTGAAAACTGCAGTTTGACAATCCATGTTTAAGTCTATGTATTAGGCTGTTAGCACTATCTATTGTTTAAACAGGGTAAAACACCTGCCATCCAGATTCCCAGTGGTATTTTTTTCGTGCTGCTTCACAGTTCTAGATTTTCCTTGTAATATCTTAATAATAATAATAATAATAATAGTGATAATGATAATATGTTTGCTTTATTCCGCACCATGGTTATGTTTACAGTACAGAATTCTCAGTGTGTTATTATTGTCAATTTAACCATATTACAACATTTTTAAAACACTAACAATGGTTCTGTTTGACAATATATAATCAAGAGTAACAGAATTGTTGAAATGTTTAGTAACTTCAAGTATTATCTGTTACACAGCTGATTGATAATGCTATGTCGAACAAGATTTTCTTCCCATAATACACAAGCTAAATAAGGTATGGTTGAATCTTCTCATGTGGTTGTGGGTGCATAGATCTAAATACTTTTGCTTCTTGTCCTCCCAGATAACAGACATGGAGAGAGGTGCGGATGTAGACGATGCTTGTCATCAGATAATACATTGTAGTAGCAGTAGTAGTAGTCTACAAGAGTTTAGATGCCTAATCCACGACTACATTTATCAGCTCAATTAGGGGTGTGCTACTTGCCCTACTAACGGCCTTAAAAATCTTATGCGATACAACGTAGTTTTTTTTCCGGAGTCGAGGAAAGAATCAGGGATAACAATAAGTGAGTATAGATAAAACACAGGGATTAATGAAACGTAAGAGTAGAGGCTGAGTTATGCCAGACAGTCTGAGTTTCCTGATATAAAAGGTCATGCGAAGGATTTCCCCAAGAAATCAGTAAGATATGAGGGGATTAAGAAAGATCAGAAGAACAGTATGAGCCAAGATGGATCACGCTCTCTATCTTCTCTGTAACAGATCTATCTATGAAAGAAGAGTCATGAAACTGAAGCAATATGCAAAGATTTTTTATCATGTCTTAAGCTAAAATTAACTATGTAACATTTAGATGGATTGAGTGTGAGGCCATTCAATGGAGACCAGTAACCAATTTCCTCTAAGAAGTTATCAAGTTGAGAACAATCAGAAGAGGAAATGATGGGTATAGATACTGTCAGGTTATCAGCATACTTAACAAAGTTAGCTTCAGTTGAGGTTGGTAAGTCATGCAAAAAGAAAGAGAAAAAGAAAGGAAAAGAGATTAGCACCTTGAGGCACATCGGCTTCACTGAGCACCGAAGTAGAGCGTTTCCCTCTGTATATAGTGTACTATCCTCTTTCGGAAAAACATAAATATAATACTTTAAGTCTTTTGCAGAATGATTATTAGCCATTCCATCATCTCTGCTTCATTCTAGAGTGAACAAACTGCTGAAGAGAAACGTATGAATCGACGACGTGAACTATTCGCCGCTCTAGTGCAAAATTCTACCAATCGTCTTACAGGATTAAAGACTGATACAAATCTAGATACAAAAATGAAATCTAGTATTGCATACAAAGGAGCTGGACAAATGCCAAAAGAAGATGATGTCCGTAAGCTACGATTATTTGTTGGTAAGTCTGAGGTTTTCTTTTATTTTTTGTCGTTCTTCACTTATTACAAGTGTACACATTAGTATGTTTCCGTGTAAAATGTTAACTACTACTTGGAGATTAGTTATTTACTTTCCTCCAGTATTATTAGTATCATAATTATTTTTCTCTTGGGTTCCTGGTGGAACATGTGGCTTCAATAGCACGCCTCCACTGCACTCTCTTCTCTGCAGTCTTTTGAACCTGGAGCCACGACTGCCCACAAGCTTTCATTTCTTCCTCACACAATCTCCTCCATGTCACCCTGGCCTCGGACGCCCAACTCGTCATTTCCCCTTTGGGTTCCACTCGAGGACCTGACCTGGCACGTGATGTTCCCAAACGGTCCTCTCAGTGCATGTCCAATCCAATCCAATCAAATCCAATCGATCTGCACTTCCTTCTGCATATTTATTGGGTGATAGGTTGTTGGTTGGTTGGTTGGTTGATTCTTTGCCAGGCGGGAGTTGCTTGTTGCCTGTTCCTTTTATTCTGGCTATGTGATCTCCAGTGTCAGTATGGAGTGAGCGTAGGTGGAAGCCGTTGATGATGTGTGTGTGTGTAGTTTGTTGGAGATGCTTTTCGTAACGTGCCAAGTCTGTGAAGCGCATAGTATAGAAGTACTGACCTGAGTGACATTGATGTTTAAAATCGGTATATTGTTCTTGCTTTATGCTGAGTTGAGTGCAGCGGGGTGGAGTGTAGTGAATCTGCACACTGATGATTTCAGATTGTTGAAGGCGTGTCATGCTGTCTTTGTGATCTTGGGTTTTCCATCTTCATATGTGCCGTCGTCACCGTCTGGCGTAGTTGAGACGATGCTGCCGTGCGCTGGTGTTAGGTAAAAGAGACAACTTGTTTTAGATTTGTCCGGGTGATGATGATTGGTGTTTGTTTTTGTTGTTGTTGGTTGGTTGGTTGGGTGTCTTCATCACCTGTGTCTTGTCTACCTACGTTCAGGTGAAGGAAGTTGCGTCTTCGTTTGCTGCTTCACGTGTTCTGCCAAGTTGTTAATTTTCGCCTGTGTATCTTCCAGTTTGTGCGACAAGACATTAGACATAAGTGACATAGATCGGCGAAATCCAAATCTTGTTCTGTGGTCTTTTCATGTGTGCAGGCAGCGTATGCGTATCTTCTCGCTGTTTATAGTTTGTTGCATGATGCAGTTGAGTCCAGTCTGGTCGACCACAATCAGGAAGATCATCGGTGATGGATTGAAGACAGCTTCGTCTTACTCCTGTCTTCACTTCGAAAGCCAGCAAGCGTTACATAATGGTTTGCTTTTGTCTTATCACTGCAGTCGTATGTCATATTTTGTTGTCAATACTCGTGTATAAGTGAAATCACTCAGATCTTTAATCTTCTTGTTTTGGCATTATTTTAAACAGTACAAGTGAATCATGTCTTGATTCAATAATTCAGATTGTTAGGCAAATGCTGTATTGAAATCGGCATTCTGATGATGGATAGTCGCTAGTCTTGGGACCCAGTACGCTCGTTTTGTTTTATTTGGGACTTGTCAGCTAGATGTTCCTGCCTCCCTGTAAGCGATGTTTTTCTCACCAAAACTCGAACCCGGAACCGGTCGCTTCGAACCCGAGGGTTCACTAAGCCATCTAGTCACGATAGCCCCTTCTTGGACAACGGGTATTGCTTGTGTAATGTGGTTTGTATTATCTCGCCATCAATTTGGCTGAATCGATCAGTCTTTTTTTGCTTATGGACTTCAACATAGACGCCTTGATATTGCCTGTATTTTCAGTTGTAATATTAATGATGGATGGTGGTTAGCAGTGAAATCCAAGACCCGCATTTCATCATTTCATTGTACTTTACACACGACCATCATGACCACAAAGTGAGAGTAGTGGTAATGGTAAAAGCAATACGTAACCGATACTGATTGAATCATGATAGGCAAATTAATATGAGTAGTACGGTGTTTTATAATAGTTATATGTGTAAATCTATTAGCTAGCCATCTACTATCACAGGCTTCGATTATTGTGTAGATATCATGTTCCTAAGCCAATCAAAACAGCAATTTTTGGCAACTTCATAGTGTTGCAGCTCTGTCTGATTCTTATGAAACTATGGTTTAATGGTCTCTAAGTAGTATGTTAATTTTCAATCAGCGTTTAGCACTCTGCTGGACCTGGCTAGATTAGGTCAGCCAACTAGTTTCGGTTAGTCGTTTCGTTAACTTCGTTCACAGCCACTACTCCTACTGCATTGGATCAAAGTTGTAAACATCTGGAAGTCTCTTTTTACTGGGTTATGATTCAAAGTAGAATGAAAATTTCGACCGTGGCCGGATTCAAACTAGCGACCACCAGGTTTTCGGCGCGACTAAGCTACGAGGTCCGACTGCTGACCAGATTTTTATTTCACTTCAATCACCATGGGCCTTGCCCGACTACCATGTGAATTCGTGACACATTACTACTGCTTGGTCGTATTCACAGCAGCTGTCCGTAGTCAGGACTCCTCATTTCAATCCAAATCAGAGAGGGGGAGCATCATATTGATTATCAATTTAATAGTCTGAGGTAGCTATGGTTTGGTAGACTTGTGTTGATACTGGTTCGAATCCGACTGCGATGGAAATTTTCATTTCACCTTCAATCATCACTCATTATATTTAGTAGTCGTCTGTCAAACCTCAGCCGTCTCACTCAGATAGTCAGAATAATGACTGTGCTAGTGAGTTTTTTCTCCTTTGATTATATCTTCTTCTTACTTCATCATTCTTTTTGGTAGATAAAAAGTATGAGACTGTCATCTTACCAATTTTTGGACTGCCAACACCATTTCACATTAGTACAATAAAAAATGTCTCTACATCCATTGAAGCCGATTACACATATTTACGTATAAATTTTCACCATCCTGGTGCATTGGTTGGTGCAAAGGATACTGCTAGCTTCCAGGTACGTGTATATACACTCATATTTCAGTTTTCATTCATATTTATATATATATTATCCATTCTAAATTGACTAGAAAAGAGTAGATACTTTTCCATGATAATAAGTAACTTCAGATTGGTATAGTTTTCAAGATGTTATTACGAGAAATCCAACTTGGAACCTTGCGTAGAAAGGTGATACAGTCTTTAAGCTATCCTAGAATTATGCAGTTAAATAATCAAACATTCGATCTCATTTTAGTAATAACCACCACCACCACCACCACCAAATACACTCTGTAGTAATCCTGCTCTCATCCATCAGTTGGCTTACGTTGAACTATATTATACTCCTACTTGATACAATTAACGAAACAACAATAACTACTCAACAATACGATATTCACCTGATAGGAGAAGTAGAAGACAATGGGATTGAAGGTATATTTCAACCGATTATAGCTGAAAATTCCTTTTAAGAGACCTTGACCAAGGAAAACAAAATAGTATATTAAAAGTATGAAATGAACCAATCAGTGTTTAGTATCTTAAACGGCGGTAAAAACAATTAACAGGGCGCAAAAAAAGGTTTAAAATTTACAATGATAAAATGTACACATCAATTAGTTTCCTCAGAGATCAGACATCCCTAATAAGTATTCCTTGGTTGACAATAGGAGGTTACAGCTGAAAGAGATGATATGTTGGTCACTTTTACCAAACTGATAACATCAATATTTCATTTATAATGCTATCTCTCTACCTAATTAGTATTTTATAACCTACAACCTACCACATAACAATTTAGTCAGCACTAAGTGAATAAACCTACTTCGATATTAGAATCTACATAATTAATACAGTTTTATTGATGTGTAAATATTGTTGTACTCACATTGACATTTTTGTAACTAACTGCTCCAATTAAATTATACGAGGGATAATTCGATAGATGTACTCAATAACTTTGTTCAACTGCTTTATTGTTGTGTTTTTTTTTGCTGTAGAATAATCAGAATAATGATTACTTCGTCTGTAAATTTATCCAAAGAATTTTTTTTTTTTCATTTTCGTTTCATTATCAACTTAGAGCCCTGAATCAACCTATGTTAAAGAGATGACATATCGTGCTTCAAATGTACGTAGACATGGAGAAGTCACTATACCATCGACAAACTTAAATAATGCCTATCGAATTATTAAAGAAGTATTGAAACGTTTTCGTTCACGTGAAGCCGAGGAGAAAGAACGTGCAAATCTTGTAGAACAAGATGATTTAATTGTGGAACATGCAAAAGGCGCTTTTCGTTTAAAAGATTTATATATTCGTCCAAATGTGGCATCTAAACGGATAACAGGTAATCATAGCGAATTTATGCTTGTGGTAAATTCAGCATATATATATATATATATATATATATATATATATATATATATATATATATATATATATATATATATGTTTTTCCCTTGGGTTCCTAGCGGAACATAGGTCTTCAGTAGCATGCCTCCATTGCACTCTCCTCTCTGCAGCCTTTTGAACCTAGCGCCACGACTTCCCACAATCTTTCATTTCTTCCTCACGCAATCTCCTCCATGTCACCCTGGCCCCGGACGCCCAACTCATCGTTTCCCCTTTGGGTTCCACTCGAGGACCTGACCTGGCACGTGATGTCCCTGAGTGGTCTTCTCAGTCTATGCTCAATCGATCTCCACTTCCTTCTGCATATTTGTTGGGTGATGGGTTGTTGGTTGGAACGTTGCCAGCTAGCCAGAGTTCCTTGTTGCTTATTGTTTGTGGCCATCTGAGCTTCAGTATTGAGTCAGCGTAGGTGGCAGTTGTTGATGAATGCGTGTAGTTTGTTGGAGATGGTTTTCGTGATGCGCCAAGTTTCTGAAGCATCACATAGTAGCACTGACTTGACTGACTGGTGTTTAAGATTCGGATGTTGTTGATGCTTTGTGCTGAGTAGAGTAGATCTCTACACTGGTTTCACGTTAATAATAGCCTGTCTTGCTGTGTTTCCGATCCTGGCTGGCTTTGACATCCTCGTCTGTGCTGCCTGTAGTTGAAACGATGCTGTCCTGCCTAGGTAGGTGTAAGAGACAACTTCCTCTGGGTTTTTTCCGTAAAACCAATCCAACCGCTAAGAAAACTTTTATATTTCTAGTCTTACGGTTAATCAAAAGATACTTTAGACATCATTCAATTCAGTTTATTTGAGATATACTATTGTAGTCAAGAGTTATATAAGAGAACTTGAGATTTCGTAAAAATGTATACCTATCAATCGTGAAATAATAACCATTGTAATACTCTACCCTAGCATTAACCTAGAAGTCTATGAATAAAATATAGCTGGTGCTTGACAGATAGTAATTCATATCATGGAGAATTTAGGCGTCTTTACTAGGATTCATATCAAATTTTCTACTTAGCACCAATAATTAACGGTTGTAAAATCTCATTCATCGGCTTTTAAGGTAGGATTAAAACTATCATTCCAAAATATCAGTTAATCAATAGCTAAATTTTAGTTTAGCTGCATTATTACTCCGGAACCGAATATTCAGCGAATTTATCGTCTGTAAATTTATTATTCTCTTGTATATTTCACCTAACTTTCAACCAGTTGTTTAGAAGTTGGAATGACGTCTCATCTACTTAAGTTTTGTAGACATACACTATTATGAAACCCCTTGCTTAACAGTTATCTGAATGTGACAACAGTGTTCGTCCCGGGGAAACCTGGTGTAGAAACAGTGGTAAAAACAGTTGGTAACTCATACTGGAAGGTTAGAAAACGTCATTCGAATTGATTGATGCGAGAAGACTGATTCCAGCCGGATTTGACCACGATGAAGATTGAAAGCAGCTAAAACTCACTCAAGAATCTTTGTGTCTGTCGATCGTGAGAGAGATGGAGAAGGCATCAGTGTTGGGTAACACTTGGCAACTATTTAGCCTTATTTAAGATATCAGCAAGAAGAAGACAATGGATAATGAAGGCATTACCGAAAGGGATAGGACACTGATAACTTTCCAGGACAGGCGACTATACTGTTGGACAGGACACTTTGAAGCACAGTCCAACTGGCCCTCAGCATCGCTTTAGTGGCCTAGTATCCAGCATGAACCTGAATAATGTATTTTTGAGATGAATGGGGATTTTTTAAATTTAGAAGTAGTATTCATCATAGACTGACATCAATTGGGGAACCATTGAAGATCTGGGAGCACTGGACAGCTGTTTCGCCCTAGTATGGAACTCAGCAGTACGCACCCATGACCCGGCTAGGGGTCGAACTCAGGACTTTCAGGTCTCACGGCGAACGCGTTAACCATTCAACCACTGGGTCGGTTCCCAGTGGTTCACAATTTCCAACTTCTGTCAATTCACAACATAGCGTGGCTGTCACCCAAGGTCTTCAGTTAGCATCCACTTCACTTCCGACTGGTTGACCCCATAGGTCACGGCTTCTGCTGAGGAGTCCCATACTAGGACGAAACAGCTGTCCAGTGCTCCCAGATTTTCAATGGTTCCCCAACTGATGTCAGTCCGTGATGATTACTACTTCTAAATGAATCTGAATGAAACGTAGATGTCGGTCCTCCAACTTATTTCAAAATTGAGAAGGCTGTATAAAACCTGAAACGATGGAAAGCATCAGAATTAATCGATGAAATCTCTTACTATTGGTCTGAGTCATGTGTAGAGATGTAGACTGCTTAGTTGGGGTGCTCGAGACGAAATGAATCAATGGTTGAATACTCTTGAGGATGTGACTGAAGATCGGTGACATACAAAGCTTGAATATTTACACTAACTGTTATCTCCAGATTGTTTATTCTCTCACACAACTTTGTCTATTTTAATATCACTCTTATTCTATTCACCAGTTCTTTGTATCTTACCGTGAATTGTGGCAACTTGAAGCGATACATCTGTGTGCTAGGTTCTACGTTGATTTTGTCAGTCAGTCAGGCAGTTATGATACCCTTTACAGCTCATAGTTTAGACTATGGGACCTGTATATGACTTCTGAGGTAGATCATAATTAAGCATTCATAATGTATCTGTTTGTTGGCTTCAGGTACTCTCGAGGCACATACAAATGGTTTCCGTTTCACCTCAGTTCGTGGTGATCAAGTTGATATTCTGTATAATAATATCAAGCATGCCTTCTATCAACCATGTGATGGTGAAATGATTATTCTATTGCATTTCCATTTGAAGGTAAGTGAAATTTTTTACAAACATTTTAAATTATTATGGTTACTTCATTATCTGTCTACTATTGATGTGTAGCTCGTTAGTCTAAGTAGTTGACTTTCTACCAAGTGGGTCAGAGATTCAAATGCCGCTCCACTTACCGAAGTCATGGCAGCTAGGTAATGATATTAACCCTCACACACTAGGTTGTGGTTCATTGCCTACTTCACAGACGTTCACAAGGTTACTGAGTGATTTTTGTATATATGGATAAAGTGTTATGCAATGGTTTCTGGCTCCAGTATACACATCAGCTTTCACACAGACAACCAGGACAATAGAAACGTATTATTTTAACTAAGAAATGATGTTTAAGAGTAGGTGAATAACTAGTAATTGTGTAGCTATAGGTTGTTCGGTATACAAAAAAGAAAAGTAATGTACCTTATTGTGAACCATTTCAAATGATGTAAACTGAGTTTTCCAGTTACCGGACTTTAACATCGCTACGTAGATGTTATTCGCTTATTTAGGCAATCTAATTCCAGGCAATGAGAATGCCAAGGTTAAATCTTTCTCTACATATTCTGGCTAGAAGCTGTTAATATTTTTAATCTTAACATACTTTGAGTTTGCCTCATAACTTAATACTTAAAGGTTGTACACTGAACTGTGTCATCATCATCAATATCAACATAGAACCAGGGATTACTGTGTAACGGTTCGAGTTACCACACCTCATACCAGTACATCAAGTAAAAAGGCAGTAAAATGGAAGATGAAGAAAAGAAAATCCAGTTAAAAGAAATATAAAATACGAAAAGAGAGAACGAAACAACGAGAAAATCGTGAGATTCTGTATAGAGTTAAGATGAGGATAATGTATGTCCTCTTGTCCCACAGACCCCAACCACCTAGTCTGCATCGCTCCACATGGCTCAAACCAACAGTCAAACACTTCATGCATTGGTGTCATGTTTCAGTCTGGTCACCTCCTACCTTTTTCCAGCCTGGACCTACTTCAGCCAACATTGTGTGGCAAGGCAGACGATGGCTAGACTATATGTAACACATGTCCCAGACAGCCATCTCAGTCGATGAAGTTTTACAACCGTGTCTACTGATTTAACTCTTCTCCCTAAAACTCTACACCTGAGTCTGACGTCTGTGTTATTCATGTGGTGATACCACGGAATACTGCCTATACTACGAAGGCAATGGTGGTCAAACACTTGAAGCCTTCTCATGTCTTCCACCTTCAATGGTCATGTTTCACAGACATACAGTAGAACAGATGGGACTGTTGTGCAGTACACGCGACCGTTAATAGACAAATGGATATCACGGCGGCGCCACAGGTTGCGTAAATTGGCAAAAGCCAATCGAGCCTTTTGTATCGGTGCAGAGATTTCATCGGTCACTGAGCTAGTCACTGGGGCTGATCCCACTTCCCAGGTAAGTGAAGTGGCTAGCACATTAAACCACTACACTCTCCATTGTTAACCGTGGCACCGTTGAAAACCAATCGTGGAGCAACTGTTTGCATTTGGATGGTGAGAAACGCGTCTCAAACATTCTCAAATTACCACTCAAAGTGTTCAGAAAACTCTACATCTTGTCAGTGTCTTCACCTAACAGGACTATGTCATCTGCATATTCTAGGTCTAACGAAAATTCCGCTGTGATTATGTCAACGTCTGTGTAACCAGGTGACGAAAGGGAGACCTCCATAAGTTGAGTTCTTATAGCATTAGGAGCTCAATTTGTCTCAGACCAATACACTAATCATTTGTAACTTTTATTCTGGATAGTAACCATGACTAATTTCTAATGCGTTCATAATGTACACTATTTTATTACTCTGTTTTGTAGAATGCAATAATGTACGGCAAAAAAAAGCATACTGATATTCAATTCTATACAGAAGTTGGTGAATTGACCACAGATTTGAGTAAAACACATTCACGTATGCAAGATCGTGATGATTTAGAAGCAGAACAAAGGGAACGTGAAATGCGAGAACAGATCAAGATGGCATTTAGATCTTTTGTAGATCGATCTGAAAATTTGGCGCGTCGATATGATTTAGAGTTTGAAACACCATTCCGTGAACTTGGATTTCATGGTTGTCCATTCCGGTAGGTTAATTAAATGAACACATAAATACAGGTAGCGTATTCTAATGCTAAATATCAGCAATTAATCAGTATGAGACTCTGAAGCAACCTAGGTTACTTGATTGTCGGCACTTAATAGCAATGCCTATCTGTAGTCATCTTTCCTCAGAAGTCAGCTGCCTTCCACCGAGTTACTTAGGCAACAAGTGACTCCTCGGGAGGTTGGTAGTGTATGCATAAATCAGTCACTGGATAGTAATTGATGTAATTGTCAAGTCCTAAGTGCTCACTCATCAGTTTTACAATGTGATCACTACGCTTGTGACACAACCCTGCCATATATCATATTTTGGTGATATATGTGAATGGTTGGTCAATAGGAAGCCCTTGACTTGGAAAACTTGTTTTTTTTTGCATTCACTGGAGATGCATATTCACATTCATGAAGGAACTCGTTCTCTGGGAGTTAAATCGATATGTTTAACACTATATTCATGTTCATTTATGTTTATTTGTAAGGTCTCAAACATATCTCTCTATCTAGTGTTATTAAAGAAAAGCTGTTATATAGTGAAACCAGAGTTAAACTCATCAGATGGCCAGAAAAAATAAGCAACAAGGAACTCTGGGAACGAACCAACCAAGAACCTATCACGCAACAAATATGCAGGAAGAAGTGGAGATGGATTGGCCATGCACTGAGAAGGCCGACTGAGGACATCACGCGTCAGGCCCTCGAGTGGAATCCCCATGGGAAGCGACGAGTTGGACGTCCGAGGGTGACATGGAGGAGGTCGTGCGAGGAGGAAATGAGAGGTTGTGGGCTGTCGTGGGACCAGGTTCAAAAGATCTCAGAGAACAGAGGTCACTGGAGGCGTGCTACTGAAGCCCTATGTTCCACTAGGAACCCAAGGGACTAATAATAATAATAATAATAGAGTTAAACTCATACGTAGAACATTAGTTCGAGGTGAATTATTTAATGAAGTGGATTTGTATGAACATACATATGCAGATCACATGTCAGCATGTGATACAGTTTAGTTGTAAGTCTAGAGTTGGAAGAACTGTAGATTGATGAGCAGACTGTGAGACGAAATATGAAGTTATTCACTGTTTACCTAGACTGAGTAAGTAGACAAGACTTCTATATTGATTTTGTAAATGATAGCTTAGTGTTTTTCATTTATTTCGTCTTAATCATCTATTTCTGTTGCTGAACCTTCCACCTCCTCATGGTTGTTGAAACTTACACTACTAGAAATTATACTCAAAACACAACATATAACAACATTGACAACTGTAATTAAAAAGTCAATTAAACGATACAAAGAACAATGAAGAAAAGTCCTTCAGTAAAAGCTGCTCAAAATCTCAGAAATACCTACAACCAATGAAACAAACAACTATGTTGTCAACTTATCAAAACAACAGGTAATAAAAATGGAAGAAGTTTTTCTTTAAAAATGATTGAATAACAACACAAGAGATGCTTCTAAACCAGAATTCTTTACAGCATTTAAAATCGTCACTTAAAACATCAGGATTAAATGAAGTCACTCGACAAGAAATACGCTAAATAATCATACTATTGACTGACCAAGTAGAAGAGACATCACACTCAAATGAACACTGAAGAACAGAAAACATTAAAAAGACTAAAAAGTCGGAAAGATACCGTTTTACTTCCAGCAGACAAAGGACGCACTACAGTAGTCATGGAAAAAAGAGACTACATCAAGAAAGCAGACGAAAACGTATATCAACCACTTGAAACCAACCCTATCCAAAAGTTTGACAAGCAAAAGTACACAAACCAAATATCTCTCTGCAACCATTAGTCTCACTTTCGGGAACTCCAGCATACAACATATCAAGAGAAGTTTCAAGAAAACTGAAACCACCTGGTTCAGTTAATTGAACATTCCATCAAATCACTAACGGAATTCTTAGAAAAGATCAAGATATTGACAACTCACTTCATCTTGAATTTAGTAGTGATAAAATCGCTGTCTAAAAAGACGATGAAGGCTTCTTCACGACTAAACAACCCAGTCAGCTTAGAGAACACAATACAATCATGACCATTCACCTGAGCTACAAATATTCTCCACTATTATCCTAATGCAGCTTTATATTGAGTAATGGTTTTTTTGGAGATATAATATATTGAGTTCAACATTCGACTTTCTACCACTAAGTTGTGTAATCAAATTCTGCTTCACTTGCTTCGATCTGAACAGCTGAATGGAATAGTAAACTCTTACACAATATTATTGGCTTGTTGCTGAGTGTATCTTTAGGTGTTATACTTTGTTTTAAGCTTATTCTACTAATGCAAACGAAGATTTAATAATAACCGGGATCAGTTATAGAAATATATGATAACAGTGAGTTATGGAATTGTGGTTCATTGGTTTTTAGGGAGTTGATTTTCAACCACTGGATCGTTGGTTTGAGCGCAGCTCTACCTACTGAGGTTTGGACATCTAGGTAGCATCATTAGCCTTCACACATTAGTTGTGGCTCATTGTCTATTTCATGAATGTGCACAAGGTAGATGAATGGCATCTTCGTGTGTGGGGGGGGGGAAGAGAGAAAGAAAGAATGATAATCAATGGTCATATGCACGTTTATGTACACTTAGTGTATAAGTCACACCTGTAATATAAGTGCTAATACTACATTTGTAACGGTAAATAATTCACCCTAGATCAATAATCTAGGCTTCGATGAGATTCAACATTGATGCTGACCTTCATAGTTTTATCAGACTCGTTATGCTGAAGGGACACGGTCAAGTATCCGCGTCATTTGGCACGTTGTTGTGCTAAGTCGTGATATTCCTTTGGCAATGTTATTCACAATACATTGATATTTCGACACAGGCTATCAAATATACTATTCTATCTGGTTACTCTATTCTATTATTCCTTGATCTCACACTCATGGGTAGGTATATGACAAGTGTGCATAATTAATGATTGATGTTTGCGTCTGTCTAGTTCATGTAAGACCTTTTTCTAAACATGCTCTCTACCATATATTCCGATGGGTGGAACAACTTTCCAACTTAGTTGGAAATTGAATTTCAATTTGAATTTCTCTAACAAATATATCATACCTTCACTGGTTTTGACCACTGATTTTTTAGTATTTTTCTGCCTGTAATAGTAATCTTTTATTAGTTCTCAGAAAATGCAATGTTTTTCATTGAATACATTGGTTGTACATTTTAAATTCTTTTCATCCTACCCCCCCTGCCCCCCTCCCCCCCTCCCCGTTCTTCTTTTTCTTTAGATCAACTGTGTTGATGATGCCTACAAGCAGTGCATTGATGAGTGTAGTTGAATTACCAGCATTTGTTGTGACATTAGAGGAAGTTGAATTTGTCATGTTGGAACGTGTCAGTCTATCAATTCGTACATTCGACATAGTGTTTGTCTTCAAAGATTATCATAAGAAGCCAGCTATGATCAATTCAATTCCAAGTACAGCATTGGAATTGGTGAAAGAATGGTTGTTGTGAGTATTATACTGGAATTAGTTTCTTTTTTTAAATTGATGCCTGTCCATTGTGTAATGTCAATCTTTTTATTCCCTAGTTTCTATGTGATTACTGGATGATAGTGCTTGTCCCCCCCCTCATGATATTCCTAATTGTGGTCGACTGGACTGGATCATGCAGCAAACAGTGGGGAGCTGTGAGAAGAGGGGGATACGCTGGCTGGACTGCGGAAAAGAACCTAGAAGATTTGGATTTCGCCAACGATGACTTGTGCCTGATGTCACACAGACTTGAAGATCTACAGGCGAAAACTAACAAATTGGCAGAAGAGGTGAGGCAGCGAAGGAAGACGGGACTTCAGGTGAATACAGAGAAGACAGAGGTGATGAAGATACCGCACCAACAACTTCGACAACAACAACAACAACAAACTCCAGTCACCATCAACGGAAGAAACTTAAAGGAAGTAACCTCCTTCACCTATCTAGGCAGGCAGGCAGCACTGTTTCAACTACAGGCAGCACAGGCACAGACGAGGATGTCAATGCAACCAGGATCGGAAACGCGGCAAGACAGGCGTTCATTAGCCTGAAACCAGTGTGGAGATCTTCTGCACTACACTCAGCATTAAGCGTGAACAACATCCGGATTTTCAACACCAACCCAGTCAAGTCTGTGCTTCTGTGTGATGGTTGAGGGACTTGGCAGTGCGTTACGAAGGGGATTTCCAATAGACTACAGACACGCATCATCAACAACTGCCCACACTGGCTGGCTACTGAAGATCAGATGGATTGCCAGAATAACCAGAATAAGCAACAAGGAGCTGTGGGAACGAACCGACCAAGAAGCTATCGTTGAACAAATCTGAGGTAGAAGGAAGTGGAGATGGATTGGGCATACATTGAGAAGGCCGACTGGGGGCATCACGTGTCAGGCCAGGTACTGGAGTGGAATCCCCATGGGAAGCGACGAGTTGGGCGCTCGAGGTGAGAGTGACATGGAGGAGATCGTGCGAGGAGGAAATGAGAGTTTGTGGGCTGTCGTGAAGCCAGGTTGAAAAGATTTCAGAGAACGGAGTTTACTGGAGACGTGCTAGTGAAGCTCTATGTTCCATTAGGAACCCAAGGGACTAGTAATAATGATGATAATAATAATAATAGTGCGTGTCCAAATCGGCAAGCAGCGTAATATGATGTTGAAATTATCCTGCCTGACATGCTTATCTGTATAGATAGCACAGGAACACGAGTAGAAAGGAGTTCATAGCTGCCAGTGTATTACCCTATAAAGAAGGAACATCAAAAGCTTTACTTGGGATCCTCAACAAAGTTGAAATTAAGGTGGCATTTAAACTAACAATCATTAGCTTGAAACAAGCTAGTCGACCAAACCTGTAGGCTAGTTGGGCATTTTTTTCTTCTGACATCATCCTATTTCTTGAGAGACCACAACTTACTCACGAATCCTTTGTGCAGTTTAAGATGATAATATTATGTCATGATAATACAATATTGCAAACACTTAGGTCGCGCACCCTTCTTCGGGAGTTTGAGAGGGCAGCCCTTGTTCTTCTAGTGTGAAGGTACCTTTCCTTCCTTCCGGACCATCTACACTAGTGGTGTGACCACCATCCGCTGTTGTCTCTGCGTCTGTATTCAGTGCTTCTTGTAGAATTCCATCTGGTCCTACTGCTTTCCTGGATTTCAGCAACTTTATGGCCTTCATGATTTCACTTCTGCTTTTGTCGAAGGGCTTGTGTTCACTGGTAGTTCTGTGGCTGGGCTGCAGGTGGTATTTCTGGACGAGTTGTAGGTGGTGATGGTGGTCGACTCAAGAGCTTTTTGAAGTGGTCAGACCATCATTTTCTTTGTTTCTCCTCTTTGGTAACTAAGTTTACTTCGCTATCTTTCATTGATTTCGTCTGCGTTGATCTCTTCCCAGATAGCAGCCTGGTTATTTGATATGTTGTTTTCAGGTCTCTCCTACCTGCAGCCTGTTCTACTTCACTTGTCAGTGTGTCGTAGAAGTGTCTTATGTCTTTGCGTGCACTCTTCACTTCTTTGTCCAGTGTTTTATAGGTTGCGTTCAATTCATCCTTGTGCATGCTTGCATAGAACTGGTTTATCTTCCGCTCCACCATCTTCCTCTCCCTTCTCTTTCGGCTTCTATGTGTCTTTCGAGATCCATTCAATTTCTTGTCTTACCTCTTCTTCCTTCCTAACATGGTTATGCAAGTTTCCTTTCACATCCCTCTCAAAGTGTTCCAGTGTTCTTCCAAGCAGGTTCCTTCAGGGATGTCCTTGAATATCTCCCATTTTGTCCTAATGACTGACGTGAAGATGTCCTTTGTAGTCTCATGATTCAGTTTCTGTTCTTGGTGTTGAACTGATCTACCACCAACTTCTATGAAGGCTTTCAACTTGATTCTTGAGGTTCCTTGCACTAGATAGTGAGTGTTGTGAACCTACACTTGCTGCCCCTCTTCTCGATCTTACGTCAAGTAGGTTACGTCTCCACTTTCTTGAGATTGAGACGAAGTCAATTTGATTTTTAGTGTGCTATCAGGTGAAATCTTTGTTGCTGCCTTGTGAATATCCTTATGCTTGTACACACTACCTCCAATTAGCGAATCGTTGAATGCGCAGAAGTCTTCAAACAGTTCTCCGTTCTCATTCATCAACTCACCGAGTGCTTCTTGATCGATGATAAGTTCTCTTCCCGTGTTCTCCGCTCCGAGTTTAGCATTTATGTCACCCATTAGAATTTTGATGTCACCAATTAGAGTGGAGTCTTGTTCAGTACTGATTGCAGTTGTCTGTAGAATTCCTTCTTCTTCTCTTGATCTGCATTATTTATTGTCGCGTAGCGTAGTATTGTATGATTGTAACTTTCCTTCTTATAATTTAGGCATTTGACTGAACTCGCCTTTATTGACATTGGATGAGGTTATCTGGAGTTTAGGTTCGTGTCGATTTCCTCTAGATGGTAATATTCAAATCACCGTCTTCGTATTTTAACTCTTCAATGTAACATGAATAATTCTGTTTATGCAATATCCGAACACCAGAATTTAGCTAAATATGGAATGATAGACACTAACTACATCAGTAATCTCGAAAAATACTCAACTATTGTAGTCCAGAAATTAACATAGCTACGCAATAGAGATGAGTGGAGGTGAAGAGAAATTATTTATCGAGTTTTTGTTCATCACTGTAAAATATGGAAGTTAAATAATTTTATTGTTCAGTATCTTTTAAATCTTTCACACCTATGACAATGATTGAAAAATTTCATAAAATTATGATAAAATCCTCATAGAATCATTGTAATAATGGTTATTGTGTAAAGGCAATAATAGAAATATTAAATTTCACTTCGGTTTAGTGTTTTCTAGTTATTCCTATGAGTTATCTAGTAGCCTTTTTTTTAAATATACATTCACATGAAGAGATAAATGATGTCTGGCTTATTTAGTATTTTCATTATTTATTCCATAGATCATGTGATCTATTCTATGCTGAAGCAACCAAATCATTGAATTGGTCTAAACTCATGAAAACTATTCTTGATGATCCTGAAGGATTTATTGAACAAGGTGGTTGGTCATTTATATCACCTGATGAAGTGAGTGTATACACTCTATATGTGTATGTGTTGTGTTTTGTTGTTGTTGTTGTTGTATATACGCTAATCTGATCATATTGCATCATTCAAAGATAATGAATCCTTGTTGAACATTTTCTATTCAACTAAATTATAATTAATCCAATCATTTCTAGTTTGGAATAATAAATTTTCAAATGTTGCTAACTAAATTTTGTATAGATGAATTTTAGTCAATATATAGTTGATGTTTCACACTGTTGAAAGTTGAATAATGTTAAAGAATTCATATAAGTTTACTCTACCATTGTACTTACCGAAAAGTTGCTATTCTAGGCTTTGAAGGGGATTTATTATTTCCTATATGCGCATGACATATTATTTAGCCACCAAACCTTAGTTGATGCCATCGTAAATTTAAATTATATAATACAACTGAACTTGGTGCAGGTATATGAGTGTCACTTATGTTAAAGTGGATGATAACAATGCGACCAGTTATATCGAAGTAGTTGGAACGAAACTGGAATCTGAAATGCGATGTTGAAATCCATTATTCATCAGTAGCGATAGGTGACAAGAGAGAATTAAAGAAACTGTGACGAAAAGGTCAATGGTTAGTGAGACTGTAGCTGGGAAAGATGAGTCTTCAGTTCAATCAGAAGACAGACGACTGGGACAATGGGTGGAACATTTCGGGGAACAGTTGAGCTTGACCTCCAGGTAATATTGTGTTGCCTGGTTGGTATCCAGTCAGTTCGTGAATGGAATATTGGAATAGACACACGAACACTTCCTGAAATTGGGAAAGTGGTAATCAACTTCGAACAAGGAAGGGTGCCAGGTCCAGATGAACTTAGTTCCTGAGGTATATAATAACGGTGGTAGAGTGTTTTTATACAAGTTAACACATTAAACTGATTAATGTGTTATTAGAGAAATGAAGTTCTGAGTATTCATCTGTTGAGGACAAGTCACACTAAAATTGTATATTTATCTATGGGATTAAAAGACTTGGAATGCATCTTTAACTGCATACATCTGAGCTCGATTCACAGTAAGTTTCAAGAAACATTACAAAGTGTAAATAATTAAAATTCAAGCTGCCTTTTACCATTGTTTCATCATCATTTATGACCCACCGGCTGTTCATAGTCTCTATGCCATTGGAGATAGAAATTGAACTAGGTTAAGACAATGTTCAAGTTCTTTTCGGTTCTGCTACTGATATCACTTCACTGTGAAACGACTGATCGTTATTCAGATCATTGCAGCGTATTTAGGGAATATTTCTGATGTTTTTGAATGTTTTCCGGGTAAATAAGCAAGTAGTGTATATATTTTGAAGCAACTCTGTTCACCTCAAACTACTTGATTCGCACTCTGCTATTTGAGCACATCCGTGAAGTAGGCAATCAGCGACATCTATTGTGTGTGAAGCCTCGTGATACTTCACTCATCAGTGTTTCGTAGAAGTGTCTTTTGCCTTTGCGTGCACTCTTCTTCACTTCTTTGTCCAGTGTAGTGTTTTATACATTGTACTCAGTTCCTCTTGTTGTTGAGCATCCTTTCACTGCACTGGTTTATCTTCTGCTTCACCATCACCACCTTACTCTCCCTGCTCTATCAGCTTCCATGTATCCATTGAGATCCATTCCAGTCCTTGCATTCTTTCTTCTTCCTTCCTAATACGCTTGTGCAGGTTTCTCCCCACACAGCTTTCATAGACTTCCAGTGTTCTCCCACACAGGTTTCTTCAGAGATCTTCCTCGGTATCTCCTATTTTGTCTTGATGGCTGACTGACGTGAAGATTTCCTTTGTAGTTTCATCCTTCAGTTTCTGTTCTGGGTGTTGTACTTGAACTGCGGTCTATCACCAGCTTCCTTGAAGGCTTTTAACTTGATTTGGAAGGGAGGTTCCTTGCACTCGATAGCGAGTGGTCTGAACCTACATCTGCTCCTCTTCTTGACCCTGTGTCAAGTAGGCTGACTGCGTCTCCATTTTCTTGAGATTGAGATAGAGTCGATTTGATTTCTAGTGTGTCCTGTTGTCTGGTGAAATCCATGTCGCTGGCTCTGTGGATATCCTTGTGCTTGAACACACTGGTCCACTCGAATCACCAAATCGTTGAATGCACAGAATTCTGCAAACAATTCTCCATTCTCGTTCATCACCTCACCTTTTGATACTACGTGGTAACCTAAACACAGGTCGATGGAGTGGAATTCTAACCCGTGACCCACTGGTTTGTAGTCATTTCCCATAAACCACTGAGCTACAGCTCCACAACTGTTGTATTACATAAATGTCGTGAGTGATGTCGGAGTCGATGCACTACCCGAATATATTTTTTTAATTCGAAGCGTTGACAAGGACTAGTGAAAAACCATGCGAGTCACGAGTTTTATTTACAATTATTTTTCATTCCATAAGTGTTACATTCTTGTGGTTACGTGAATATGCAGCTCAAACTATAAATCACTGTCATATCACTAGTCAGTACTGAATTATAACTGAAACGTGTATACCTTTGTTCACCTTCTTCATATAGGATGATGATGAAGATGAAGAAGATACTGAAGACGAAGATGAAAATTATGCACCATCGGAAAGTGAATTATCTGGTGACGGTGAGGAAGATGGTAGCGGTGAAGGTTCATCAAGTGACGATGAAGATTGGGAAGCTGAAGAGGACTCAGAGGAACCAGATAGTTTAGATTCTGATGAATCAGAAGGCAAAGATTGGGATGAATTAGAAGAAGAGGCTAGAAAAGGTCAGTAAGATACACCTATCGCTTATTATCAATAAGATTATCAGCGAAAAATATCCACATTTATGTTTCTGAACTATTCGTTAAAATTTAAGTGTGAATGTTCTCATTGTATTCGTCTGGCTAAATTTTTGTCGTTCATAACACACTAATGTTGTTGTTTTGTCTTAGTGGATAACGCTCTGGTGTCTAAAGCGATCCGCCGCAAGTTTGAATCGCAGTGGGAACAACATCACTCACTGGGAGGCAGATACATCCAGCTGACAAGTGTTAAATAGGACGGAATGCGCGTCCTGGATTCAACTGTTAACCACTATCCGTCATAATTTCATAACACATTGTTTAGAAATGCAATTATAGAGATTAGTAATCTCTCGTAAATGTGTTTCTAAAGTCTAACTTGTTGCTTACAGTCAAGATTATATAGGGTTTGAATAACTCCTTTTATTGTTTTAGTGAGAACCTGAGATTAGTTGCAGGTCATTATAAATTCCTATAGTTTGGAGATATATTTATCTATAATTTTACTGTTCATTCCATTGCTTGCGTTTTATAGAACCATCGTTTGAGCAATGCTGAGATCAGGTGAAGGGCACTGGGCAAGTTCATTGAAATGACTTGGATATAAACTGTGCATACCGAGTCAGTGGTACCGCAGCTAACAATAGAGAGTGTAGTAGTTGAGTGTGCTAGCCACTTCACTTACCTGGGAAGTGGGATCAGCCCCAGTGACTAGCTCAGTGACCGATGAAATCTCTGCACCGATACAAAAGGCTCGATTGGCTTTTGCCAATTTACGCAACCTGTGGCGCCGCCGTGATATCCATTTGTCTATTAACGGTCGCGTGTACTGCACAACAGTCCCATCTGTTCTACTGTATGTCTGTGAAACATGGCCATTCAAGGTGGAAGACATGAGAAGGCTTCATGTGTTTGACCACCATTGCCTTCGTAGTATAGATAGTATTCCGTGGTATCACCACGTGAATAGCGTAGACGTCAGACTCAGGTGTAGAGTTTTAGGGAGAAGAGTTAAATCAGTAGACACGGTTGTAAAACTTCATCAACTGAGATGGCTGTCTGGGACGTGTGTTACATATAGTCTAGTCATCGTCTGCCTCGTCACACAATGCTGGCTGAAGTAGGCCCAGGCTGGAAAAAGGTAGGAGGTGACCAGACTGAAACATGACACCAATGCATGAAGTGTTTGACTGTTGGTTTGAGCCATGTGGAGTGATGCAGATTAGGTGGTTGGGGTCCATGGGACAAGAGGGAGCAGTGAGTGGTTGGAGACTCTAGGTGATGTCATTGCTCAGAACCGATGTCAGTAGCGCAGATGTATACATACATTATCCTCATCTTAACGACGCTGTACCAAATCTCTCCAGTTTCTCATTCCTCTTTGCTTTCTTCGTACTTTGTACTTCTTTTGACTACATTCTCTTAACTACATCCTTCACCCCACTACCTTTTTACTTGATGTACTGATATGAGGTTTGGCGGGAAGTTGGACCGTTACGCAGTAGTGCCTGGTCCTATGTTGATATTGATGATGATGCCGAATCATCGCCTACCTCGACGTTCTATGTTAGCAGCATTTGGATTATGTCGGAGGAGAGTTCAGAGTGACCAAACCAGGTTAATGAAGTCTCCACACTGTAGGTCTGAGCCGTGTGGAGAGAAGTAGACCACCTGACTGGGATCTCCGAGATGAAAGAAATCAATGTTTGAGGACTCTAGGTGACATGGCTGATTATTGGTGTCAATAACGTAGTTGTATTCACTCTTTATTGTCTTCTAAAGCTTGAATATTTGCACTTACCTTCATCTTCAAATTGTTTATTCTCTCATACAACTTTATCCACTTTGATATGACTCATTTTCTATTCATTTATTCTTTGTTTACTATTATGAAGTGTAGCAACTTCGAGTGATGCACTCCTGTATAAGGTTCTACGTTAATTTTGTCTATCTGCTCGATTTCATATCTATTTAGTTGTTAATGCTATTTGTTTTTCACATCAATGTACACTATCTTTATCAATGTTATGTAGTAAGTAATTTTTGATCTAAAATACAAGGGACTAAAATAGGTGAACTAAACCCTACTGGTAAAAGGGTTGTGAATATTTCGTGTCATGTTCAGTCAGTGACATATATATATATATATATATATATATATATATATATATATATATATATATATATATATATATATATATAAAGGTATGGACAGGTTCATCTACGTCCATGCAATGGGACGTGTTAGTGTTAAGGATATATTTTATAGTTATTATTATCAGTCATATGAAGTCAAGCATCTCAGCTGGCTTACCGTTATGACAACCTCGACTGCTGTTGAACATCATGAACAAGTATGTGCAACACCTGTTCATATTCATAGCTACAACTTTTAGTATAAAAGACATGCCTCTGGTTATTGACTTCTTATCGAAATGATTTCTCTTTATTGCTCAGACACACACACACACACTTAAACTAAGCTTAAATTCTTCGGTCAAAAAGCCTAGTGTTATTATTATCCCTCAAAGTTTAAGTGTAGAAATTTAGTTGAAAATATTACTGAATTTATGTAAGTCATGAAAAGTAACACTAAATAATTGTGTCTACCTAATTAACTGACTTGTTATCAGTTCACCTGTTTTGTATAGTCTTGTTCAATTTTTTTTTTATAGAGGATGCTAAAAATGCAATGGATGAGGAGGTTGTATCAAAGAAACGTCCACGAGCTCGTAGTCCATCACCAGTATCACGTAAAAAATCTCGTCATGGCGTCAGTTCGTCGAGTAAAAAGCATAAACATCGATAATATGATTTGCACTGCATAATCTCACCTTTATCCCCAACTCAATGAATGAAAGAAGGGACGTTGATTATTATTATTACTGGTAAACTATAGACAGTAAAAGGCATTTTTCTTTCCTGCAGTTCTCTTTTCGTATTACTGAATTCATTGTACAGAAGAGTGTGTTAAATTGAATTTTATGTCCCTAATTTGTTTTTGTTTTTCTGAAAGGAAACCCACTCAAATAATTATAAATATATAAATGTTTGATTCACTTTCCATTCCAACTATATTATATGAAATCTGAGAGAAACTCTTTGAATTCCATATATATATATATATATATATATATATATATGCAAGTGTAAATATCCGCTTGAATTTCAGTGTCAGTTTCAACTGAATAGACGACACCTTGGAGAGAGTTGTGTTGCGTCATGTTTTTTTTTGTTTTTTTAGTAACTATGATAAATCGTTATATATCCAATGATAATTAATATGAATGATTTGCAGGCAAGCGATTTATCTGTGACAGTGATATATTCAACTTGGTTGAATGCGAACTTATCTCCAATGTACAGCAATAAATACATTAGGTAAATAACCTGAGTCAATCAAGAAATTGTTTTCAAAAACATCAGTTACTCATAAGTAATCTGGTAATTAAGTAAGAAAATGTTAAACTTTGTATTAGATCTCACTGAATGCGCACCATGCATATGAGATAAGTAGTACGGCGTAAATGTGCCATACATTTTTCTAATTAGAGGAACTAGTGATTTTAGTTTGCTTTGTAGTTACCACCTTGATAGTATTGGACTATGTGCATTGAGGTTATATGCGATAAAGATAGACATAAGCAATGTAGTGTTAGTACCTGTCAAATTTGAAACACTTTACATCCGGATAGAAATCAGTATGAGTTATGGCGGAGAAATAAGAATGATGATGGGATCATTTGTTATACATTTTCTAAGACACGATTGATTCAGCTGGATCTATAAAGTCATTTATAGTGCTCCTGAACATCTAGTATGCGGAAGTAAGGGTGTAACGATTGAAGTAAATCGCTTGATTATTAGCTAACAACAAACCAAATTATCATGATTAACATTCAGGCAATACCGAGGCATCCACATAGGAGCCCATATGCCAATTGAGGTTGAACAGTTCGATCCAACAAAACAACGATGAATAACAAGTATGTCAATAAACAGTAATAACTAATACCCGTTGTACAAGAGGTGACTGTCGTTCTTTTGTGGCATAGTGGATAACGCCGTGGCGTTTGAAGCGCGGGGCACGAGGTCCGAGTCTCAGTAGGGACAACATCACTGGGGTGCAGGTACACCCGTTTGACGAGTCCAAAGCAGGACGGGACGTGCACCCTGGATTCTCTTGGTAGCCACAATAAACCATCTAACTGGTGTCCGTGGGACTATAGGGAACAGTGGTTGAGACCTTGAGGTGAATGGGTGGAGGTCGGTACCAGTGGGGCAGTTGTTTTCACTCTTTGACATCTGAAGCTTGAATATTTGTACTAGCCGTTATCTTCAAATCGTTTTTTCTCTCACACTACTTTGATATGACACATTTTCTATCCATTTATTCTTTGGTTACTACTGTGAAGTGTGACAACTTTGTGTGATGTGATTGTGTACACATTTCTACCTTGATTTCATCTATCTCTCTTATCAAACGAGATACAAAACACTTCAGATACCGAAAGCCGTAGCCTTTCAATTTAAATAGCTTGAATTATTTAGGGAAATGGTTTTCATGATTTCGTAAAAACTCACTTTTCCACTTTACTGAAATTCAATAACAGTTTTTCATTTTTCATCTGTTTACCGGATGTTCAATATATTCATGTCCTTCATAATCTATTGATACTGATACTTTCCAGTTGACTGTCACTTTAGACCGAATTGATTGGTCTCTGTTGGTAAATAGCCTCCTATGTTGACGCCTCAATATTCCCTAAAGATTGTTAATCGCTCCTAGTGCGAACCGAAATGCCCACTTCCTCCTATTTGTGACTCGTCATTTGGATACACCTTCAGTTATACAAGGTCAATATATAATGAAACATGATAGGTATTTAGTAATTGATCTTTATCGTCTCTGAATTCATCATTTATCAATATTATTGCAGAAGTAGAAGCTTATCCACTTACAGAAATGAAAGAACTCCTTCAGAAAGGACTGAATTACAACACAAGGAACTGTCTATTTTTCACACGTTTCCATTTTATCCTTGGGTATATTTTTGCTTCACGCATCACTGACATAAGTTTTGGTCTGTCCGCAACGTACTGAACAGCCAAACATTTACTTCAACGAAGCTGTTCACTAACGTAATATCTTACATAACTGCTATGAAACTGCGCTTACAGCTTTAGTTGATCGTCTTCTACTTTTGGGCATATATGGAAACAGGACAACAAACAAGTTTGACTAGAACTCTGGTAAGACTTGTTATTATGTATGTTTTATTCCAGAGACCTGCATTCAGTGAAGTGCTTCGAACAACTTCCACATCTGTCAGCTTAGAAAATGTATTCACAGTGGACTTCTCTGCAGACTCTGTGACATCAGCAGCAAGCCTTAGAGGCACTTAAAGTCGGACTGAGTGCCAGAGTTGAAAGTGTTGTACTGATTTACTGGATTCGCATTAACAGTAAACGATTTGCCAACAGCCAAGAGTAATTAATCACACTAAGAAGCGACTGGCAAGGGAAACTGGTTGGTAACTACAAACAAGTTCACCCAACGGATATCATAGTGCTAGCTGGAGACTTGAGTGTAAAGGTGAGTCGTCTAGATTTACAGAGAGATCGTTTAGGTGGTCAGTTAGGATTCTTCAGTGGCATGTGATATAATGGAGAACGTCTTCTGCAGCCTGATGGAATTCGTAACCTTTTTGTAGTTGTCACTAACTTATGGAACAGGCATAGTTACTGAGCTATCTAGCGTCCTCCTTCGGTCACTCAAGCAGAAACTCACCCAGATTACAGTGCTCATAGCTTCCAACAATGGGTGTTAACTCAGGACTATGACTTCTGGACTCTAATGGCACTTTCGTGTATGCAAATTGATTGCCCATTGATGGGATTAGGAGCCGAAACCACTTACAAGCTGAACCTTCAGAATGCAAAGATAACTGACTGCACTTAGAAGGAACCATAGAAACGGGAAGTAAAGCTGCTGGTGACTTGAAAGAACATCCCGTTAATAGACGCTAAGTCTCCGCAAGCTGTCTGCAACTTCTTGAAGGTCGTCCCGTACTTTGGCAGCAAGCCAGTACACTGGTGTACATGAAGCATAAAAATAGTTAGTTGGATGCCGTGAAACTTGGTTTCGTGCTTGTTGGTAATCGTCGACAAGGTGTATCTGCAACCTGAAGCGAAGTGAATCGTCTCGAAGCTTTAAACCCATGCCATCTAGTGACGTCTTGCTGATGACTGCCAACAAATATGAAAGGGAGATCTAGGGCTTATTACTGATTGTTCACAGCAAACTGAAATTTAGAACTGAGAGTATTACCGGTCAACTGAATAACTTGTGTAGGAATACATTAGAATAATGATATAGACTTTATGCTTTTACTGTAATCTACATACGATTTGAACACATTAGGATATTCAGTCTAAAGGTTAGTGGATTAGTGTAGGATTAAAATTAGGTATTCAGGTAGAGCCTGAATGGACCTCAGTTTGTTGATTGGAGAGAGTTTCGGACACAATTTAATCCCCATAGTTATTATCAAGGTCGTCTCACAACTTTGAGACATCGTCTATAATTTCAGTTGTCTTCCATTTATTCCTTAGTGTTGGCATTATCATCTGCTATTCTGCCTACTATCGTTGTGTACATATTCACATTTTTCGAATTCAGTTGTCTTCTTCAACTTGTCTAGGTTATGTCTGTAGAAGTATAGGACGAATATGTTATAGGGCTTTATTTGACTTGAGAACATACAATGTAATGTACGATGGCAAGTACTTCCACTTGTATTAATGATTCATCATTGGTGTACGTCAGTAGTCAGGCTATTTTCTACTTGAGTTGTTGGGTACTTCATATATGTTACAGAAAGACACATTATCCCACTGAAAGGTGGATTGTACACGAAGATGCATACCAAAGACAACCTAGAGGCAACAGTAGAACGATTAGTAATAGAACTTGAAAGACATTTACTAACTAGGAATTGAACAACATATATGTTCTTATATATGCAACAATACTTTAAATAGTAAGTATGTGATAACTGAAGAGGAAAAGGCATTTAGGCGAACTAATGAGAGTGTTTGACTGAAAGTAGTTAACTGTTGGTGGAATAGAGTAATAAACAAATAATTTCATATTCATATGTTCAAAATGTGACCGTAAATCATGCTTTCTTGTAAATTAGATCAAAGATTATTTCGGATCTATAAGCTGTGAGTTAAAAAGCTACCCTTATTCCAGCTACATAAAGTTTCTGATAATCCTTTCTTAAAGGGTAGATACAATAGATACTGTGAACTCCTTACTACTCTTATTACTGTCATTATTTCGTTTCTTACGTGTTCATACGAATTTTTGAATAAACTTTAGAGCTTAATTTTATTTAATACAGCCTCTTTTATGTGCTCCAGTTCCTTGTTTATGTCCTTATTCCAACGATCATTCACTTTTTATTCATAACAGTTTACTTTACACTTGTTTTTTCAATGAGCATCAACCTGAGGTTGCAGACATACTACTAAAAATAATTTCTAAGTGCATATATAAATATATCAGAAATGCATGCACATTACTTCTTCATTGTATGTTTTCTACAATATCCAGTCGTTTCTTCGTGGTCTAGATGACAAGCAGTTAACTTGTGTTTAGGATCCAACCAGTCTTCAGTATTAAAAATAATCGACTCAACAACTTGTAATAATGCTTACTGTATTTATCTCTGTGGAGATTCAGGTTATCCACAAGTTGAATCATTCAAGAAGTTGTTACCACTTGTTCCAGTAATGAAATCCAGTAACATATCATTCTTATGCAAACTGGCAGTTCACTGCAGATGAGTAGGAAACATCTTTTGGATTTTCTGCTGATGACGCTTAAGATGATCAGTTTTGAATAAGCTATAAGTATTAGACAAACCAAAGACAGGATCGTCGATCACTATGCAACGTTTTACTATCACGTAATCATTCTTCCTATGATAAACCCAAGGAAATGGTTTAGGCGTTTTGACCGCTCTTGGTAACGCAGGGTTGGCATGATTTGTTGTGTAACAAGCTTACGCTTTTAACTTTGTGTGAACTAGCCCCATTTATGAAG